GCTAGAAACTGGGAAATCATGAATTTTACTTCTGCCTGAGGCACAAAGCCAGCCTGGTAACCTGGGGCCAGACACTTTCTCTAAACCCCAGTAAGCAGGCAATGGCAAACCACTTCTGAAAAACTTTGCCAAAAAAAAAACTGCAGGAACTTGTCCAGGAAGTCTCTGAGAATTCGGTATGATTGAATGGAAGGGGGGGGGAAGGTTGATAGGATACTAGCTTAATAAACAATAATAATCACCACCATTAAAGCCATTGCAAAGAACCATTCAAATAGTTCTCAAACAGATATGCACTTAAGAAAAAGGCTATCAAACAACAATTTTGAGCTGGTGTTCTCCAAGATATTTGCATAATCCATATTTGCATAACCTAACGAGCTCTGGTAGCAGTTCAGATCCCACCTCTGTTCCCTCCAAATTCCTTTCTCTTGTACAGCTTATATACATTATGTTTTAGATTTGAAAATGTTCCTCACTTTGATTAGACGATCTCCAGGTCGCAACCGCCCATCGCTTTTGGCAGGATCTTGTACTACATCATGGATGTAACAGCCGATATTATCACTGCCTTTTGTCACTGTGAAGCCAAGGCTACCTTTCTCAGATTTAGTTAGAACTACATGGAGTTCCACTTCCTAAAGAGCAAGAGACTTTTATTATATACCAGAGTCAAAAACACAACGGCACCGTACGCAGCTAGCATCTAATGTGCAACTAGCAGGAAAACATAAAAGAGGAGATAATATAGCTTAGTCAATATCTGCATTACATAAAATCTGTATATGGGTATAGGAAAAACAGCTTATGCATAGTTATTTTCTTCCAGACTTTTCAAAAAGATAAAATGGAAAAGATAAATAAGATGGGAGGTTCAGATCCAAAAATATTTCTGGGGTTTATCTAAAGGGTAGGTCTACAGGGAGATTCTAAATCTGACCAGAGTAGTAGAAAAAGTAGATGCAGGTAGAGTCAAAAACATCATTGATTTAAATCTCCCTCCCCAAAGTTTCTCTTAGTTGCATAGTAGCTTTTTTCCTTGTGTTTTTTTCAATAGAGTAAAGGTAATTTAACTTATACAAAAAACACAAACTCCCTTCCATTCAGCATCTATGGAGATTCTCAGTCATCCAGGTCATGGTTGTCCCAAAGGTGCTTTTTCAAAAGGCAACTAGACTTTGTTTTTCCTTGTAGACATTTCACTTCTCATCCAAGAAGCTTCTTTACTTCTTCAGAACTGAAGAAGCTTCTTGGATGAGAAGCAAAACATCTTTAAGGAAAAACAATGTCCAGTTGCCTTTTGAAAAAACATCTTTGAGACTTCCATTTAGTAATATATTAATAGCAAGAAAAGAAATTTCCATGGTTCTCTTCCTCCAGTAAGTAAAAATAAAACATGGGAAAATCAATGATGGGTGTCCTACACTGAACCTGGAAGATAGTCATGGATCTTCTGTGTTGATTATGACCTTCCGCGTCAATACCAACTTGAAAGACCTACCATGTCCTTCAAGTTACTTCTGAGAGACATTCTACAGAATCTGCTGCTTCAGCATCACTCTATGGTGTTGTTATGCCCTCCAGGCATCTCTCAATCCACAAAGAACAAGTTTTTAAAATTAAAACTGAAGGCATGCTTCATTTGTACTGTCAAAACAATTCCGTTTTAAGGATTCTTGTGATACTTGTTGAAGATGTTCAGTCCTCAATGACTTAAGGTGAATTATATAGGCCTGGTATTACACCAGAAGGACTGATAAGCCAGAATAATAAATAGCAGAGATGCAGTAGGCAACTATCTTTCTGGATGGATATCTTGATCCCACAATAAGAAACATTTGTAGATTATTGCTCGTGACAGTCTTCATGCAGCACAGCGGTTTATTTTTAAGGAGTGATTTTATACCTTGCCATCTTTTCAAAACTCAAGTCAGTGAACAGACCTTCTCTTTTGTGCAACTTATCCACCCAACAATGGGATCAAATAATTCTGCCTGAACTAAGGACTGCTGCATAATTCAATATTATGCAATGAACTTCAAGTAGGAGGTGGGAATTTCAGCTGGGCTTCCCCTGTCCTAGTCCACTTTTCAAATCACACTGACTTTTAGCTTAACTTTACCAGCATCGTCACATAACTCTGTCTCCCTGATAGAACACATTTTATTTTCATTTTTTCTACCTTTTAATATTTACTATTATTGTTTTGTTTCTGATATCCTATCCTTTTTCTTTTTTCTCCTTGTGTTTTTGTACACATTTAGAGCCTCCCATCTTCATACACCATCAGCAACTTTCTGCAGGGAAGGGAAAACCAGCGCAAAGCATACTTATTTGTAAGTATGTAAATCAGGAGGTTGGGGTACTTTCCCGGGGACCAATTCATCGGTGTGGTTGGAGACATCAAGGTTCAATTTTCTGCTTGAAAAAACAGATTTTCTTCAAATCAAAAAGATCTACACTGACGTTTTTGAGGATTAAAGGTGAATGAAACTTTCTGTTTCCATCTTCAAAAATTCAGCTTCTGACTTTTCATTCTGTTCCCTTTTCTATTCATTCTATCAAGTTTCTCTTTGACTTTTGTCCATATAAGTCCATGGCCTTGTAATAATGTCCATGGCCTTGTCCATGGCCTTGTAATAATGTTCTTATTACAAGGCCATAGAATTCTTTCCTCCCCTGTTTCAAATTAATACTGGCAAAAAGAGAGCTCATTAGGAATATCTCATTCATAGTCAAACCAGACTGATCTTAGAAACAAAGCAAGGTTGGCATGGTGAACAACTGGATGGAGAACCACCTGGGAACTTCATGGCTACTAGCCAAACCAGCGTTTCTCAATCTTGGTCACTTTAAGATGTATGAATTTCAACTCCCAGACTCCTCTAGTCACCTTCTTAGCAGTAGCTAAGTAACTTGTACTTTGTCACATTGTGCAATTTACCCACACTCATACCCACAATCGACAATCAGGAAAAAAAGTAGGGAATTACTGGTTCATATTCATCTGCATGTTTTTCAAGCTGACTGAAAAGCGGCGCCAGTCTGCCTTGTGGAGATGTGAAGTCAGAGAGAGAAGAGTTGAATTTTTCTTCTGTAAAATTAAGTGGGATGGTTCTTTGGTTTGATATTGGTGACAACTCCATTAGCAGAGGTGATGGAGGGTTGCTACAAGACAAAAAAAAAAAAAAAGGGGGGGAGTTATTTCCAAAGTCACTGACAGGAGCTGATACAGTTGCCAGCTGCAGAGGTATGGGATGAATTGAATGTATTAATTGTATTACATTTTCAGCTTTGAAATCAGGCTTTCAGGACACTTCATCCCAGTTAACCCACCCTGATTATCTCTATATGGGAGAAAGAGGGCATAATTTTCCCCACAAGAGTGTGGTGAGAGCAATTTTCCATTCTGTCTCTGATTATTTAGCCCAAAAAATTTATTTAGCTCATTGCATTTGCATTATCAGAAATGAGCTGGAAGAAAAGTGTATTAAACAATAGCTAGGAACATTTTGCTAACAACAATCATCCCTGCCGATGCAAAAATTCAATCAAAATTCACTATTTTGATAAATGGACAAAGACCTCAGTAAGTCTAACAGGGCTCAGAATCACACTCCTGAACAAATAAAACACAAGCAAGACTATATGCTATAAAGTCAACCAATGTAACATGCCTGTTCTCCATGTCTTGCTTCCTAGATGATTCAAGAGGGGGGCAAAATGCTGTGTGGATTGCTTCCCTTTGCTTGCTGGATGTCTCATAAGGACTAGGTGCTTGAGCTGCTGACTTGCTTGGGGTTTGATACAAAGCAGAATTCCACTTTGGGCTGGCTGCATTTGCGATGATTTCGTCCCCTCCGCTCCCACTGCTGTCACTGTAGCTGTCTCTCCGAGAAGGAGACCTGACCTTGTTCTGGTCAATGGCTTCGTTTTCATCAGAACTATCATCTTGTTCTCCATTAGGGGGCGGTAGGTTTCCTTTGCCCACTTTGGGGAATATTTGTGGTGGGGAATGGATGGGTGTCTAGAATAAGCAGAAGAAAATAATTGTTTGACCAAAGGACAACCCCCCCCAAAAAAAGGTCCTTACGACTCAGATTCAAAGTTATGATGTTCACACATTCCCCCTGCAGTCAAGTGATCACATTTTGGGCACTCGGCAACCAGCCCACATTTATGTCCATTTATGGCGTCCCACGGTCACATGATCACAATTTATGATTTTTTTTTTGCTGGACACCAGTGTTTGCGGACAATGGGTTTGCTTACAACTGTGGAGTCACTTAAAGACAATACAGTAGAGATTCACTTAATGACCACAGCAGAAAATGTTGTAAAATCAGGAAAGCCACATTGCTAGATTTGTTCTGGCAACAATTGCCTGTGCCTAGTAAGTGGGTACAGCCAGACTAAGCACAGGATGACTTTGAGTATGATGCAGAAATATAAAATCAGCACCCACCCCTAACCTTTTGGGCATCAGGGACCGGTTCCCTGGAGAGTTTTTTCTGCGGACCAGAAAAAAAACAGACTATTGTTTCGTATGCGGCCTGCATCCCATGGATGGGGCTTCACTTGTTTTCGCAGCCCAGTTTCTGGCATGCCAGTCCACAGACTGGGAGTTGGAGTCCCTTGATGTAAATGACTGGCATGACTTACAACTGTAATTCCAGATTCAATTATAGTTATTCAGTCAAGGACTGTTTGTAAAACTTAAGAGATCTCTTGTTAAAAAGTTATACCAAAAGGTCTCACAAAAGTGGGTACCAAAACAGGCCCTTGGGATGCCACCAAACATTGAAACATATATATCACCTTTAATGCATACAAAGTTATTTTAAAACTACAGTACACATAAAAATGTGCAAAACAAGATTTTTAAAAATTACAGTAGACATAAAAGCCACATAACAATTCTCAAAAATATGAAATTTTGTGAAGCCCTAAGCCGGGGGTGGGCAACCTTGGCTCTTTTATGACTCGTGGACTCCAACTCCCAGAATTCCTGAGCCAGCCATGCTGAGGGGAAAGGGAGAGGTTTCCAAGCTGAGCCATGCTGGCTCAGGAATTCTGGGAGTTGAAGTCTACGAGTCATAAAAGAACCAAGGTTGCCTACCCCTGCCCTAAGCTATAGCTTGTTTACTTTATGACTAAACCCATTATTGATGGTAACCACCTATACAGCAGGAGATATCATATCTCTTGTCTCTGATATCATATTAGCCAAAACATACTTGTGGGAATGGGCATGATGGCTCAGTGATTAAAGACCTAAGTTTGTCAGCTGGAAAGCTGACACCCCGGGTTCGAGACCCAAGCATCGCATGGCAGGGTAAGCTCCAGCTCCTTGTCTCAGCTCCTGCCCACCTAGCAGTTTAAAAGCATGCAAATGCGAGTAGATAAATAGGTATCACTTCAGTGGGAACAAGTTCTGTGCACCTCGGCATATTGCTGGCCACATGACTATGGAAGTGTCTTTGGACAACACTGGCCCCCTCGGCTAAGAAACAGAGATGAGCACTGCCCTCTAGAGCAGTGGTGGCGAACCTATGGCACGCGTGCCAGAGGTGGCACTCAGAGCCCTCTCTGTTGGCACATGCACCACCGCCAGCAGCAGGTCCATCAGGCCGCCACCGCCGCCCAGAGCAGGAGCCCCGCCTAGCACAAAGGAGGCGAAGCGGCCGACTAGCAAGCTCGAGTAGAGGTGGTAGAGCAGAGGTCACCAACCATTGTTGGACTGGAAGAAAAGGGAGGGGGAAGTATTTTGCACTGCAAATGGGGCGGGGCTAGTGCCTGTGTGATACTCACTAGTCCTGCCCCGTTCTTGTGTGATGCAGCGCCTTCTATGTGCACCTTGCGGTGTGGCGGCGGCCGTTTTTGCGCCTTGTAGCATGGTGGCCCATTTTTGCGCCCCCGGGTTTTACGTGCCATAAACAGCACTCAGAGGCCCCCCCTGCCCCCCCAAGGGCACCACAATGCTGATGCGGCCCTGGCACTTTGCGATAAATAAATGGGTTTTGGGTTGCGGTTTGGGCACTCGGTCTCTAAAAGGTTCGCCATCACTGCTCTAGAGTCAAACACAGGGGGAAACTTTTACCTTTATACTTTTGGGTGAGCATGCAAAAGATTTGGAAACCTTTATGACACCGGTTTCACAAAAAGCCTAGTATACTTTTTAATTCTTACCAATAACGTAGGATCAATCTCTGGTAAAATTCCAGGAAGTGGCCTGCAGAGGAGAAGGGTGACTTCAGGGGAAGTTCCCCTGAGAGCCGAGATGACTTCCTAAAGGACAAAACATTATTCATCAGCTACATTTGGCACCAGCCTGCAATGAATAGGGTAACACTTAAAAGAAGGGGTATACAATCTTTTTGCGCTGAAGGCCACACTTGATCTTTGAGTGAACCACAAATGCATGAAAGACTGATTCCAAGCCAGGATAGAAAGTACTAACCTGCTGAGATAACCCTTTTAGAGAAGAACCGTTGACTTTCAGGATGACATCTCCAACTTCAATCTGCCCACTCTCTGCAGCTGGTTGTCCCGGAAAGAGTTTTTTCACCCTGACTATACTGGAACCCGGCTGTTCTGGGGAGACGCTATCTTCACGGCAGAAACTGAAGCCTAGCCCAGAACTGTTTTTCACGAGTTTCACCTCGAATGTATTGTCTAAAAAGGAAATGAGCCATGTTACTGCACATCAAAGGACGCTCACAGTTCACCTGTACACACTCACTCGTCCTTTCTCTTGAATCCGATTAGCTAAGATATATCTGTAACGATCAGAAAAATGAACGCTGTTTGGGACGTGACCTAGGATGTTGTAAGAATATGAAAACAGGACAATTTTAAAACTTTCATAAAAACTCAGAGAAAGAGATCCAGCTGAAAATAATATTAGGATTCCAGAACAGATAAAAAATTCAGGAGCTAAGAAATAGTTTATAAGTAGATGTGCAGTGAAAAATAGATTATGATTTAATCTATTGCTGTTTGAAGCATTGTTTATCTCTTTCTCCCAGTGCAGCAGGCTTAAGTAACATCATTCCAATACAAGCAATAATGTTTAAAATAACAAATGCAAACATCTATTTATTTATTTAACCAAGTTCAATTTGAAGAAGGCAGGCTGGCAATACAATAGACAATCAAGTAATAATCTGGTTCTGCAATAATTTACAAATGACTCTATGTGCAGGCGTATGTTTAGTCACTGTTAAAAAAAACCAAGACACTGAGAGTGCCACAGTTAAACTTTCCTTGGGACAGAATTTCATAATTGGGCACTGCCATAGCAAAGGTCCAACTCTTGGCTGCAACTACACAGTTGTGCAGTTGTGAGAACATCAGAACTTCCCGAACTGATTTCCAGATTGAAAGCTAGGAGATCTTTTAAGCACTTCGTTGTTAAGTCATATAGGACTATATAAACCAATATCAATACCTTAAAAGAAACACAGTGGGACACAGGCAATTGACATGTTTCCAGGATGAGTGTAGTTTCATTTAGCTGTCCCATTTAACAAAACAGGCAGCTACGTTTTGCAGCACTCGCAGCTTCAAGTCCCTCTTCAAGGGTACTGATCCTTACCCAGAAGGATCCAGATGAGAGACTTTTAGGGCATGGATTGGTAAGACTAGCATATTGTTGCTGAGAGGATAGTAGCTGATGCACCTGCTGAAGGTGGGCAGAGGTCTTCCTTGCCCCTGAAACTACCTGTCCTTCTAATACAGATTGAAATCCACAAGTCCAGAATGAACCAGAGAAGGAACCAGCACGTTGTCAGCAGGATGTTAAAATCTGCTTATTTGCATGGGTATCTTAAATGAGGAATACTGTTAACTTTTATTGCATGCCAGTAGCCTTACTTTAAAACAGGGGTGTCCAACCTTGGCAACTTTAAGACCTGTGGACTTCCGCTCCCAGAATTTCCCAGCCAGTCTTAAAGTTGCCAAGGTTGGACACCTCTGCTTTAAAGCCTTAGTAGACTGGTGTCATGCTGACAGAGGTCATGACTGTTTTCTATCATCTAAGAATCCTGGATATAAAAATCACAATCTCAAATTACAGGAATGCAGATTTGGGTTGAATGCTCCGAAAAATTACTTAACAGATCAGTTGATGGTAGAATCAGAAATGTTACTCTTGCTGGCTAGAAAATCTAAGTCTCTGTATACAGATATGGTAGTAGGTTCAGGAAGACTGATGTAGAGTGTCAAAATGACACAGTATATTCATGATTATATTTCAAAGGCAGAGCATTCTTTTTGTGGTCAAAGAATGAAAAGCAAAAACAAAAATACACATTTAATAGGGAAATAAAAGGGGAAGAAAAATTGATATGCAAACCAAAGAACTGTTTTTCTAAAATGTAGACAAATAGAACAAAGACAGTTCTGTGTCTCCTGTACAGATTTTAGTATTGTGCTCTTATTGTCTGAAAGTCTAAAGAAGAGGCGTGGTGGCCTAGAGGTGAAACTCTCGCCTCACAATCAGGAGGCTATGAGTTCGATCCTAGGCAGCAGTAGACATTTTTCTCTTTGGGTGCAATGAGTTATTGTCTGCTGTGGACACTGCATAGACATTAGGAAGGGCATCCGGTCAGTAAAGGCTCAATTCCATTCAGTCACTCTGACTCTACCCTGATGCAAGGGATTACAGGGCTGTTAAAAGAAAAAAAAAAGTCTGATAATCTAAAACTAAAGATCTGGTGCATACCTAGTCTTCAGTTCCGGTTTTTTTTTTTGTAAGTTTTATTCAATATAACTGCAAATAGAGTTTGTATATCAGGCTAAGCCAGAATGAAAAAAACCACATTATGACTTATTGTTATATTTTTTTCTATTCTGCTCTATGGAGTAGAGAGTTGGTCTCTGACAGAAGGCTACCTGAAGAGACTAGAAGCATTTGAAATGTGGATTTACAGGCGGCTGTTACGTACAGTATAAGCTGGGTTGACAAGATCAGAAATGAGGAGGTGATAAGCCGCCTGGGAAAGCCAAGGGAAATCATCAAAACAATTAAAAAATGAAAATTAGAATATTTCAGACGTGATGCGACACCCAGAAAAATACGGCATACTCCATTTAATCCTCCAGGGAAAGATTGAAGGCAAACGAGGTCCAGGCAGAAGAAGAACATCGTGGCTTCAAAATCTAAGGGACTGGTTTGGACAAAACTCAGCAGCACTTTTTCGTGCAGCTGCTGATAAAAACAGGATCGCCAACATGATCGCCAACGTCCGATAACGGATAAGGCACAAGAAGAAGAAGAAGAAGACTTATTAGACTGTATGAGTCCAATTAAACCTTATGTTTCATCTTTCCTTTAAAGTCTCAGTTGTATTTAGAAAGAATCTCACCATCAGTGACAAAGTTGTATTCTCTGGTACATGAAGTCTTCTTCACAGGCTTCTCCAGGAGGACACTATGACTGGGTTTGTTTGTAGGTGTGCACTGTGATGTTGTGGGAGCTTGGACTCTGGCTGCTGGAAGCTGCCCCTTTTCTAGTACTAGATGGACCTCCTGCAGAGGGAACCACAATTAGGTGGGGCTTTAATAATCAAACAGCTCTTAGCTATGATGACCAACCTACAGAATTAATTTAAGATGGATAAAGAGTGAGGACATTTGAGATTTCCTTTGTTTGTTCCATAATTCCACACAACAAGAAAAGGTCCCATTGCACTAAGAAGTAAAAAGAGTTTAAGAGTTTTACCTAATTTGTTTATCTTTCATTACAGATAATCCTCAAATTACAATCACTTGCTTAGTGACTGTTGGAAGTTACAACAGCACTGAAAACAAGTGACTTATGACTGGTCCTCACACCAAAGACCATGGCCACATGATCAAAATTTGGGTGGTTGGCAACAGGCGTGTATTTACGATAGTTGCAGTGTTCAGAGAATCATGTGATCATTGCTGTCAACCTTCCCAGATAGCTTCCAACAAGCAAAGTCGATGGTGAAAGTTAGATTTGCTTAATGACCATATGATTCCCTTAACAACTGCAGTAATTTGCTTATCAACTGTGGCAAAATGGTTGTAAAATCGAGCGCAACTCACTTAACAACCAACTTGCTTAGCAATGAAAATTCTGGTCCCAATTGTGGTCATAAATCAAGGATTACCTATACACAGTTCTAGAGATGACCAGCTAAAAACACCAAGATTGTACAAGGCTTCAGTCTGAGGGCTGATTCAATTGAATCACTCTTTGAATCAAACTGGTAAATCGGTTGGAATCTCTGAATTATCAGAAAGGCTTTTGTGCTCATACATAGATTTTTTTTAAAATAGAGTTGCGTGTTCAAGGGGAACAAATAGAGTAAGCACTGCTAATATGACTGAAGATAAGTTTCAATATGGTTTCTTATTCCTTCCTGGGATTATAATAATGTAAAGTAACCAAAATCAAGACAGCTGTTGTTTCCTACCTGGCCAGTGTTTCTCATGATTTCCACAGCTTGTTTATGTGTTGCTCCTTCCAGTGTGATCCCATTAACAGAAAGCACTCGGTCACCTAAGAGCCAACAAGAGATATTTGTAACAATAAAGAGAAGCAAACATAGGTCTGACACAATTGTTTATTTGATTCAATAGCCATTAATTTGAGCAAGACATTTATAGATCAAGAGTACTTCTCAACTCTCATAACTAAAGCTGGACTGCAAAAATCCAAATCACCTCTAGATAGCAGCAAAGAAAGGCAGAAAACAGAAAACTTCACTGCTTTGCTGTCATCTAGTGTTCAACCAGATATCTGCAGGCCAGATTTGGTAGCCATACCCACAAGCAGATCTGATTATGATAATTCCAGCTCTTTCCAAAAATATAAAATCTGAATACTTAGATTTTTTTTTTAGAAATGTTGCTGAAGCTAACTTGAACCACTGATTTATCTAACCCAAATGAGTGGCAGTAGCTCTCCAGATGGAGCATTTGGGTTTAATCTAGAACAGTCTATGTTCAAACCATGGGATCTGCCACAGAGCTATATCTATTTGAAGTTGCCTTTCACAGAAATGCTATTTAAATCAGAACTGTCCTTTTTGAGTAGGAGTGATTCTTTCAGGCAGATTTTTTATACCACTACCTAGAAATCTAATGTGGGACCTTTGGGATGCATATCAGATCCTCTACCACTCGGCTGTGGTCCCTCTGTCTATCTAGTATGAATAAGAGCATAACTTGCATTTTATTGTAATTTTAATGTGATTTTACATATTTATTCATATATTTATAGTTACATTTTAATGTTGTAAGCTACCCAGAGTCGCCTTGTCACAAGATGGGCTGCAAACAAATTTAATAAATAAATAAAATAAATAAACAAGCACATCTTCCATTATGTCGTCTAAATAGTTGTATTAAAAGACCCTCAAATGAGACAGGCAGCCTGTGATGGTCTGCCTAGCAGAATCCACAGAAGTGTATATGCATTGCCTCCCTAGCTATATCCATCCATCCATCCATCCATCCATCCATCCATCCATCCATCCATCCATCCACTGTATCTATGTATGTATCCATCCATCCATTCATCCGCTGTATCTATGTATAATAATAATAATAATAATAATAATAATAATAATAATAATAATAATAATAATAATAATAATAATAATAATAATAGTTAAGTTGGAAGGGACCTTGAAGGTCATCTAGTCCAACCCCCTGCTCAAGCAGGAAACCCTATACCATTTCGGACAGATGGCTATGTATGTATCTATGTATGTATCTATCTATGTATGTATCTATGTATCTATCTATCTATCTATCTATCTATCTATCTATCTATCTATCTATCTATCTATCTATCTATCTATCTATCTATCTATCTATCTATCTATCTATCTATCTATCTATCTATCTATCTATCTATCTATCTATCTATCCACCTACCTACCTATCTATCTACAGTGTCTGTCTGTCAGTCAGTCAGTCAGTCATCTGGCAATGTTACATTAGCCAGGAGACTACAATGCTAATACAGAACAGTAGCTTGGCTGCCTAAGATTGCTAGTTACGTTTGGTTCACACTTGTGTGGTATCCATAATGCCCCACAGGAGGGTGAGCTAGCTCCACACCAGAAAGAAAGACAGTGTCATGAGGGGCCCTCTCCTTCCACTGAAGCCACTTCCCAAAAGGGCATTGTAACTGGGAAGGTCCAACACTAGCAGGATTCAGGAAGTGCCAGCTCATCTTCCCACCAAAGTGGTACCTACTTATCTACTTCTGCTAGTGAGCAGAAGCTCAGGCGAGTGATGGGAGCTCACCCTGCCCTGCAATGCTAGGGCTCAAACCGCTGGAACAAAGACTATCTCCAGTATCATTAAGACCCTGAGCCACCATGCTTTTTTAAACACGGATAATGTGCAGTTTGTCAATTATAATGAAATTAAGAGCTCGTCGTTCAACTCCATCATCCAATTCTAATTTGTTCAGAAAAGGTTTCTGATCAAGGGATAGGGCAAGGAGAAGGGACAACAACATATGAAGATACTTGGCCTCTTGATCCCAATTCATCTACTCTCTGCCCAGTAAGGCCTTTTTCTTGAAAGCCTAAGCATTCCACATTTTGATACTTTCAGCAGCTGAGTTACCCTGATGCTCACCTTTCTGAATCCTACCATCAGCTTCGGCTGCTCCCTTAGGAATGATTGCCTTTACATAAAGTCCTCCATACTTCACATTGGTGTTCACGCCACCCTACAGAAGTAAAAAAAATAGTATTGAATCAAAATATACGTTTTTATGAGAAGATGAAAACTGAAATACCGATAACTAATCCAGTGGCTTAAGAAGTCCATGCAATTGCAATACTTGTGGAAGCATTTCACCAGAAGTAGGCAGACAACCTAAACCCCACATGAACAACAGATGCTTTTTGAGTTGCATGCAAATTAAACATAAGAGGCCAATTCCAAGCAGCATGGGAGGCTAGGGAATTGAAGTTTACACATCTTGAAATTACCAAGTTTGAAAAATGCTGATCTAGAGAAAAAGGTGATCTCGTCATAAAACCTTTGAACATGGACTGAAATCATTTTGGCTGCCAAGCTATCACTGGCTTATCTAAAAACAAATGCAGCTGTGTTATGTACATGTACAGGTAGTCCTCGACTTATGACCACAGCTGAACCCAACATTTCTGTTGCTCAGCAAGACACTTGTTAAGTGAGTTTTGCCCTGTTTAACAAGCTTTCTTGCCACAGTTGTTAAGTGAAACACTGCAGTTGTTAAGTTAGTAACATAGTTGTTAAATGAATCTGGCTTCCCCATTGAATTTGCTCGTCAGGTCACAAAAGAGGATTGCATACCCTGGGACACTGCTAACGTCATAAATACATGTCAGTAGTCGTGTCTTGTGTGAAAACCGTCATAAATCACTATTTTCGGTGATGTTGTAACTTTGGTCACTAAACCAATGGTTATAAGTCGAGGACTACCTGTAATATTTAATTATCGGTTAATAGTTTCTTGATTGGAATGATATATTCTTTTAAAGCAGTTTAAAGCCCTCTGCCTTGCAACCAACAAATCTTTGACGTTCATTATGTATCAACGGAAAATACATATTACTGATATTTTGCTTTCTGATCACCAGAGGGAGCTCATGGAATGTCTGAGAAAAATTCATTTTCTTGCCAGGGTGCCAATAACCCACCCTTAAAAACACTGTAAACCTGGGTAAATAACTTACAGGTCTCAATGGGTTTACTGCAGGGATGAAAAGCAGAGCAGTCTGTTAGGAGACTGGGCTGCAATCGTGAGCATAATTTCCATGTGAATTAAAGTAGCTATGTATGTTAGGACAGCTGTGAGAAATTCACACTAGTGAAGTATGAGGATGTCATAAGCAAATGAAAATTCTGACCCGGTTTTGCAAATTAGTGTGTCTTTTGCAAACTATGATGGCACTGTTTATTTTTCACTGTTTAACTGAATCCTCTTAGGCTGCCTTTTTAGCTATGCACTGCTATTTTCTCCCTTATTCTTATTGCCATGTATATATACACTTGCCAACTTCAACATTTGGGGAAGTTAATTACAGTCCCCGTTGATATAAAGATTAACCTTCAAGGTGCTATGTGACTATGCTTGTTTGTTTTATCTTGGGCAAATTGGTATTTCCAGATGTTAGAAAGCAAATATGCTCACTCTAAAGATACATTTTTATTATGATCCTTCATCTTTGCTTCATTTATTGCCTCTGTTGCCTACTTTTGATTTGTTTTAACTTGCTACACATTTCTGGATGTGCCTGTTCTTTTCTGTGACACATTTTTGTCAGTAACACATTTTTCCCTTTGCTATTTTCAAGCTTCTTTGCATATACAGGAATGCTATTTTATTTATTATGCGGAAAATATTTTTCAATAAAAAATAATAATGTCTTCAGCCTTCCATAGGGTCACTTGCTTTGCCTGTTATTTCCTTGTCAGCAGTTTCGCTGCGCCACACAATTGTCCCTATTGCTGTGCTCAGCTCTTCTACGGAGCCAGAGAGTTGACCAACGGAAGAAGGCAAACGCTAGCAAAAAGCTGCCATCCTTTCCTCACCACGTCTGCTTTCTTCAGGGGTGAAAAAGAACTGGGAAAACCCTCCCTGGCTACTGTCTGTGTTGTGGGTGGCACAGCTAAGAGTACAACGGGGTGTCGATGGTTGCAATAGAGGATGGAACTTTGATAACAAAAAGGACAAAATTCTAGGAGCTGAGAGGAAGAGAACCATGGAAACGTGAGGCTACTCTGATTTCCAGTCAGAATGTTTGGAAAGTACCCATATACACAATGGTGGGATTCAAATATGTGAACAACCGTGTGGACGCCGCTTCCAGAAGCCTGTTCTAGGCCTGGGCTCTCAGGCCCAAAACGGACTTCTGGAAGTAGCGTCCATGCACTTCCGGCAGGCTATTCTGGGCCTGGGAGGCGTCTTCTGGGCCTCTGAGGTCCAGAACGGACTTCCAGAAGCGGTGTCCAAGGGCTTCCGGAGGGCTATTCTGGGGCTGGGAGGCCTCCTGTGGGCCTCCCAGGCCCAGAATGGACTTCCGGAAGCAGCGTCCACGCACTTCCAGAGGGCCGTTCTGGGCCTTGCAAAAAAGGGCTAGGGCTTCAGTGGGCGCCATCCAGTGGTGGGATTCAGCCGGTTCACCAAACTCAACCAAAAATAGCTTTCGACTGAATCCTACCACTGCATACACACACACACACACACACACACACACACATTTAAAGATGCACATTACAAAGTCTACATTGCAAACGGTTCATTATGCAATTAGGTAACAGCATAATTGCTAAAAGGGAGTGGGGTCTACTATTAATCATGGTCTTAATCTATGCTTATCTGGGGGTTGATTGCTGGCAAGAAGGTATTTTGGTCAGTTTTTTGGTTCCCTTCTGGCTTTTCTTGATTGTCTCTTTGGAATGGCATGTAGATATTGTTTATCTCTATATGCCTGTTGACGGTTGAAGTCTACACTGCTTGCATTTATTAAGGTTTGCTATTTGCAGGACAAAAAGAGCCCAGCATTAAACTGATTTGTGTTTATATATTTAGTTGCCCTGCACAGATCTGTAACTATATCCATGTTTGCATAACTGCAAGGTGGTTAAGAAAGGTAAAAGATTAGCAACAAGCAAGTACTTAAGGTCCACCGCTTCTCTGTAAATCATGCATTTGAACAGGTGACTTGGGAGTGGAGAAAAAGATAAATCAGCTTAAAACCTTGTCAAACAGTACCGTAACACTTATGCCCAAGCCGTTCTCATTTTTGGCCAGTCTGACTTCAAAGATATCTCCAGGTTTAAGAGATATTTTAGAATTCATGGAGCTGCAGAAATTCACCAAGGAAGCTTCCTTTATGTAAGAAGAAAAAAGGCAAAAGGGTTACAACAACAACAACAACAACAATAATAGAGTTGGAAGGGACCATGAAGGTCTTCTAGTCCAACCCCTTGCTCAGGCAGGAAACCCTATACCAATTTATGATAACAATGTATTTACAGGTAGCCCATGTTTAATGACCACAGTTGGGAACGGTAACTTGATTGTTAAGTGAAGCGCTAAGCAAAACTGCAACTGCTTACAATTTCACTTTAGCTTTCCTTTGGTTCACAGTCCTGCCAAGATCATAAATGTGAGGACTCATGGCAAAGTTATTTCTTGATCAACTGTGAATGGTCACTAAACGAAGCAGTTGTTGAACAAGGATTATCTGTACTGAGATAACCAAAGGATTGAAATAGAAAAAAAAATTCTTTATAAACAGAATACAAAGATATGTATTAAAAGAGCATTCTATTTTAATCAAACATAAGCATATTTACCCCAGTGTAAATTCCATCTACACGTGATAAACAAAGATAAGATGTTTGTGATGCTGTGGCCAATGCTTTATACAAATTAATTTTTACAACAAAGAAATCAATATGCCAATACTTGTGCAGGTGAGGAAAACTTTGCTAAACAGTTTAGCATGCTATAATCACATAGTGTCAGACTCCAAAATCCAAGAAAGACACATTGTGATTCTTCCCAATGGATTTTTTTTTTTATTCCTCATCCATAGACAGAATCTTGCCAAATTAAAACATGCTAACACCACATCATGTGACCAGAAAGTTAATCAGCTGACTTACATCTGGAGGAAGGAGAAAGAAGGACAAGTGACAAGATGTATGTGATGACAAGATGCAAATACTGCTACTAACATACGTCAAATATTGAGACAAAAGTATGTTAGAGGTAGGATTTGTATCACGATGTCATCACACGCATGCTGTGATAGAATTTCAGATTGTTGCAGTCAACTGTGATCTAACTAGAAAATAATTCACATGACTTATTCAGGAAATTGATTAGTTAAAATTACAATCCTGCAAAAAATCTGAGCACTTTGAGAGGGTTCCACAGAGGTAATTTTTTTCTATATCACTTGTCTGCCATCTAGTTGTCCCCTGGAGTTTTGCAGGTCTAGACAGTTACCCTAAAATTAGTAGTCTTGAATTTGGTCAAGGATACTGGCTAGATTTACATACTGTGCTAAGCCAAAAATGGTTGGACTGGCTGTGCCTTAAGTATATTTTATGAACCCTGTCAAAATGTTTTAGGGCAGGGATACACAACTTCTATCAACTCAAAAGCTATACTAGACTTTTCATTATGGCTCAGCTAAGAATTATGGTAAAACAATCCACTATAATTTTTCATGTAATCTGTATCTGAAGTGTGGTGTGTCAACCCATCCAGAAAAACAAATTCCTTTTAAGTCTGACCCATTTGCGAGAGGATGATTGCCAGGCAATAGGATAATTTCCCCCCTCTTTTAATGTCCTTTATTCTTCCCCCTTTGTTTCTCTCCAGTTCTGCTGAGGACTGAGCTGGAGGACTTCTTATATTGGCAACTTTTCTTCTGGCAGTGAATTGGCTATTTATAGCTTTCAGTACAAGTGAAAACCACAAATTTGTGAACATAGAAATGATTACAGAGATTACAGAGCAACTCACAAAGCTGCAGCAAGTCAAGGATCAAAGAACAAAAAGTTGCATAAATAAATCTTTATGAGCCAAATTCATCACAATAATTTGGAGTGTCAGATCTGCAAAAAAATACAGACCATCTCCAGAGCTCTCGTGGTAGAGATCTGATAACCTAATCCATAAAATAACCCATAAAAATATTGTCAGTACCAAAATGTTTTCTGTCTAAATATTAACCAAGTTGATGTAAATAAGCAAAACTCTCATTAAAATAACAAAAATACAAAAAGTTTCATTGCCTAGCAGCAAGCCAGTTAAAATAGCTTTTTAAAAGTTAAAGGATTCTCTCTCTCTCTCTCTCTCTCTCTCTCTCTCTCTCTCTCTCTCTCTCTCTCTCTCTCTTTTTTTTTCCCTCTCTCTCTTTTTCTCTGGTGATAACACCATGCATTTCACCTAGAGAAAACTTTGGCCACAAACGTAAGTTTAAGGGCATGAGCAATTAACCAACAGCACCATTGGTACACCCTGCCCACGATTCCCTTTCCCCTTAGTAAACCTGCTCTAACAAACACCGGGTCTTTTTGCTTACAGAAAAAGCCATGCAACTGAAATCAACGTTACCCTTTTCAATGCGGTTTGCTCCTGACTGCTGGAGTAAGTGGCTTCATCCATGTCAGAATCCCCTCGGTCAGAATAGTCGGGGGTCTCTGCCATGCCAGTCAGTTTGGTTTTGATCAGGTTGGTCTCTGAAGAAGATCCATTCTTTTCACCGCATTTGGGAGGGCCCAGGAGAGGATTACTGCAATGCTGCAATTCCTGCTGGTCATTGATATGGTGGCCAAGGCTGTGGTTGGTTTGGGACAGGCTAGCACTCTCGGTCCTGGAGTCTTGGGAGCTGAGACTCCCACCCCATTTGCTTGAGCAAATACCAGATACACTTCCAGAGTTGGGTCTCCAGTGACTTACTGGCCAGTTCTGTTCCTCTGAAGAGGACTCAGCCTCATGGTCTGCCCTCAAGGAAGTCTTTTTAAAGCATCCCTTTCTTAGGAGACTGGACGTTCCTAAGGATAAATGGAAACTCCAATAATAAAATTATTGAATCACCTTTCCAGACACAGATGTGAGAAAGATCACTATTTTTTTTAACTTCAGCAACTTTAAGATGGTTGGACTTTTGTCTCCCAGAATTCCCTGCCCAGTAGTACCAGTTTCCCTCTTTACACATATCTTGTTATTCTAGGATTGAATATTTCTTGGAATTGTTAACCAAACCTTTCTGTTTTAGTTTAACTAGGGAACTATGGTTATTAGTAATAAAAGATCCTAGACCATGACTTGATTTGGTTTATGTTTTGAGTTTTTTCCTCTGGTCCTGCTAGCCATTATTTGTTGATTCCCTAGAATAATTAATCCAGGATAGATTATATCTTGCATGGTGGTTAGAGCCTATATGAAATAAAAATGTATATATTTGCACATATCTCAGAATGAGCCAAATGAATTGCACCCACACTTCAGTTATTGAGTCCAAAATGTGCATTCTAAAAGGGTCAATAAGAGAATTTATAAGCCTGAAAACAAATATAAAATAGAACTTCACACAAATTTGGAAAATCAGAGAATTTGGGGATTAATTTGACACCAAGTCTACAGAGGTCTCTCTCTCATACTTGGAAAGCCCAAGGGACTCTTCCCTTAGTGGCATTTCAGCTGGCTATGAAAATAATTTGTTCCATCTTGTTTATTATGTCTTGATATGAAGTTTTTAGCTGCTGTTCTGGCTCATATAGCTCTATGTAACCCTAACTAGAGAGCATGTATCTGTATGTTAGAATATCTGGCATATATTGGGTTAAGTGCTGTCTCCTTAAGAGATGGATTATGGGAAATGTAGTTTAGCTAGTCAGTCATCCCATGTTGATGGGTCAGTGGGAGGAGTTTCTAAAGGGTATTGGGAGACTTCCTGGACACAAGCCAGTTTGGAATGCCTTTGTTCATCCAGCCTCATGTCTCCTAGCCACACGGCTTGGAGGTCCTATGCCAACATGTGATACTTATGCAGAAGAAGAGGGGAAAATCCATTATCAAATTACCTGTGGAATGAACCAATATTGCTGAAATATACTTTTGGACGTATCTCTACATAACTGTGAGTTATTGTTTAGGATTCCCAGAATAAAGCGATATTTTCTGTTTATTCCTCTGAGTTATCTATCTGTCCTGGATCAGACTAAGGCTGTCTGTTCTGTCTGGGACAGAATAGCTGCTGTAGTTCTAGGTCTTTATTTTTCCACTTTTATTAGTTCCATTCTTCTTCTATTTTGAATGTTATTGTCTGTTTCAAATTATCACAATCTGCCTTGGCAATTCCACATGCCCACCCCTGTCATCTGAGCCTAGGGCTAAGTTCAAGTATTTGGATATACAAAGAAAAAACAACAACAGAATGATTCAATCGCCTTGAAAGAAGTTGGCCATCCTGTGGCTATCCTTTCAGAAGGCTCTTGCTCTTTTTTTCCTCTCTTTTTCTATCAGAAAACCATCTTTATCAGCTGATTAGGTCAGATGTGAATTGGCAATACTTGTACTGTAGAACCTATAGCTAAGGAGCCACTTACAGAAATGGTAACAAAGGCCATGCAGTGCTTTTGAACACAAACTGGGGATACAAAAATTGCACTTGCCTGAAATTCCTTAAAGCAAGTCGTCTGTCTTTTCCTGCAATTGTTAATAGCTGTGGAGGACAGCCACGCAACCTTATCAAGAAGTAGCTGCTTTTGGAGTTACAAGTAGTTCTCAACTTACGACTGATCATTTAGTGACCAACCTATCTGAAAAAGGGAATTTAGGACCTGGATCTGAAATTCTGATGGTCAGACATTTCGGGCACTCAGTATCACATGACTGCAGCTTATGACAGATTTGTTGAAAAATGGCACTTACATCCAGTATTTGGCAAAACTGTGCCATAGTGAACACTGGGTCACTTAATAACTGCAGCATTCTCACTTATGACTGTAGTATTCTCACTTACAACCGCTGCATTCATTTAATGATCACCACCAAAATGTCATAAAAATCAGGACAGTCATGTTTTACGACCATTATGACTTGCAACCATACTGAGTAGGCTCCATTATGGTTATTTATTTTATTTTATTTTATTATCAAACTCATTGGTCGCCCATCTTACCACTGGGTAACTCAAGGGCTTTCTGAATAGGTAGGCGCTATGTTTGTGCACTACTTTTTCTATGCCAAAGGTCTGCACAATGCTAATATGGGCTCATTTAGGCCCTCTTGCACAGAAAAGCATCTGGAAGAAGGAAAATATTGATTAGAACAGAAAGAATTGCAGGTTGCTATATACGAATTGTTAACCTAGAAAAAAACTTTTATTTTGGGAAATACCTTTAACTGATCCATCCTTAGGCTGAGAAACGACAAGGGTCACATTTTCTGGAGCATGCTCAATAATTTCTAAAGCTGCAAGATGGCTGACCCCTTCCAAACTCACACTGTTTACTGAAATCAGACGATCTCCTATGCAGATGGATTAAGTCAGAAATTAACAATCCAGAATAGATGTTTCTAAAGTTTGACTGTCCTCTACTCATATTTCCAAAGTTTATCATTCATTTCATTTTGCAAGCAAACATTCTTCCAAACATAAATGTTATTAAACTGGAGCAGCAAAACATGGTAAACTCATTATGAAATGTTGGGGAAATGTATTACACACACCAGTAACAGAAAGAATAATATGCATGTGATTAATTTCCCTTATATGAATTTAAAATTCTCCAATCTTATGCAGAATAAGAATTCCAAAAAGGCAATTCCCATTTCCAGGACCACCGTTTGGTATGTCAGAATGACTCCTCTTTATGAGACTAGTAGAAGGTGTCCTTCTAAAGCCAATATCACAAATTATTACCACAGAGTTTGACAAACGGTAGAGCTGGAAAGAATGTGCAGTATAGAATCTGTTTTGCAGATTGCTAGTGTTCAGTGTTTTCAGAAGAGATTCACCAAATCTGCAAGTTGGAGTTCATTTTAACATATTTGTGTGTCAGGGAATTGCACAGCAAGTGTCCAAATGGAGCCAGAACTTGTAGTTTTATATAAACAAATATATTTTACATCTATATATACAGCAAACAAGATAGGCACACTACATCATGAGGTAAATCATCAGGGCACACAGAGCACACAGAAGAAAAAGGCGGCAAAAAAGGGAAACTCCCTCTCCACACCCATAGCAACCAATCACAATGCAGATTGCCTCACACAGGAGCCAGACAGCACGCCCCAACCAATCAATTATAGCTGTGTGTTCTAGCTCATTGTACAACCCCACTGTTCCAGCTACTGAATTTAAATATCTTAACACTGTGTTATACATCTTATCCTATTAACAATAAAATCTATTCTCTTTAGTGTGGAAACTTATAAAGGCCAAGTGAGCATTCTTACAAATTGGCAGTTTAAATAACTTCAATATTTGAAGATGTACAAATAAATTATTAGAAAAAAACACCTTCAAGCTTTATAGTCCAAATAACTCCAGTAGGCACAGAATGAGGATTTTTATGAGGTCAAAGTCCCAGAGTCTAGGAATATATTGGAAAACTCTGACAACGACATGACTACAGACTTAAATAGTTTAATCTTCATTTCTTTTTATCTTACAAATCTTCTGTCATCGTTTTTCTAATCATATCACCATCAATCAAGTAATTGGTAAAGTAAGAATGGCAATAGACTACTAGAGTTCCATTGATTTAGAGCTGTAATAACCCTAATATTTATTCATATACCTCAATCTTGATCTCTGTTTCTATCATGTCTCTATCTCTATCTGCATCTCTTAATATAATTTCCAAACAATTAGCCAATATTCAAAGTTATGTATTAAAATATTACCAAGGATGATACTGGAAGTTTTAATATGAAACATTCAGGTAATTTCATTTTATCTATTTATCTATTTATCTATTTATCTATTTATCTATTTATCTATCTATCTATCTATCTATCTATCTATCTATCTATCTATCTATCTATCTATCTATCTATCTATCTATCTATCTATCCACCTACCTACCTATCAAATCTTTATGCCACCCATCCCCCCTGTAAGGTGACAGGTTATAAAACAAATAGAAAAATAATTAAAATAAATTAAAATATTAAAACTGCAGATTTCATACTTCTGTGTTCATTTTAAAAGAAGTGTAATTAATTCCTATTTTGTGGAACATCACCTGGTTTTAATGATCCTTGCAAATCAGCTGGTCCCCCAGGAGTTACTGATTGGATAAAAATTCCAAGATCAAATTTTCCAGTCTTCTCGCCACCAGTTATCTCAAACCCTGTTAAAAATAACTTTTTGGTTATTCATAGCAATATTTCACAAACCAATGGCTTACTGATTTATTACTTGTGTGGTTTGCCAAGATATTTTTCTGGGTAAAACAATGCCCTCAAATATCCTAAGACTAAAATGGATCTCTGTTGAATTGCCCTAGTAGGGAATTCTCTTATGAGTGGCCAGTGTTGGTATCTAGTTGCCTTCCCCAATGTAGGACTCTTCAGATACCCAGAAACTACATACTTGGCTCAAGAAGTTTAGGAAGATGCATTCAAAACACATTTGGAAGGCACTGGACTGAGGAATGTCTAGACTGAAACATCTGGATTTTAATGTTATTGGCTCCAAATTGCTGGGTTTGTTATATATTAGCTCTTTGTACTACACAGAACTGTGGAAACCACCAACACCACAAATATAATAACAACTGCTATCTTAGATGGTATCTACGAAAAGTTTAGGACTTGTTTGGATAATGACTGAAAGGACAGAAGAAATTATTTGGGACATCACTTTCTATGTAGTGCTGGCCTGGGCTGTTCAAATATTGCTTATATCAGCTATTAGACATGTTTATTGGATACCTTTTCTCCCCAGTTTTTGATCCTTAAAGCCTGAATAGAAAATCCAGTTGCAAAATATCTTTGAATTATTTGTGTTGGGTACAAGCCAATCATCACTGCTTTACTGTTCAAAACATGACATGAAACAGCCACCCCTAATCCAAATGATTTTTAGAGCATAACTCTCAATATCCTTTATCAGAATTCAGATGTCAGAGATGATAAAAATTATAATTCACAACAGTACGGAAAGAGCCCTGATTAGGGAAAATCGTGGTAGCACAATTTTCAAATTTCTCAGTGAAAAGAACAAAAGTCATTTGATGACAGAACTAGTGCAATATGCTCCTTGAAGATAACTTGGAAGCTTCAGCTGTTACAAAATGTACAACTGTATCTCTCCACTGAAGTCAACCCAACCACTTGGATTGTGTGAGAGAAGCAGTTGTCTGTCTTCCAGTTTTGGAAGTTGGGGGAGGACATGAAGCCCTGGGGGTACTATTTTTCCATATTGGGGCTGGATTTCTGGAATGCTTTCTTATTGGGGGTTGATTAGCTCCACAATTATTGGCCTTATGAAAACAGCTGAAGATGGGCATTTTCTAGACGGTGTTTGGGTCTTGATGTAGTTTGGGGTTCTATATGTAGAGTGTTTTTTTATCATTTGTAATTATATTATTGTCTTTTTTAATAAACGTCTGAGACTCTATGATTGTGATGGGAAATACATTTGAATAAACAAACAAACAAAACACAGCTATTTGGGCAAACTGGATATTATGGATATCTCAACCTCCTTTGAGATTGCTGCACTGATCGCTAGAATGCTCCCAGGCCCAATTCATAAGTGCTTTTTAATTTGTACTAATTTTGAACTACTGTACTTACGATATTGTTACTTATGATATTGTTACTACATGTTTTATCAGGATGACTCCGTCTCAGTTTCCTTGTGCATGCCATCCAAAGTCAGTCAAATTGGGCAGTTTATAAACATGCATACATACATACACACAAACATACATGCATAAACATCAACTTCTTTTGAAAGGAAAAAAATATATTTTTTGCCCCACCACAACAATAAGTTTGTATTAATGACTCAAATCTCAGGGATAGTTCTGACAGTGAAAGCCTCCTTTCAATACACTGTGTGATCTACTTGTTTTTTTTTAATTTCTGCATTTATATGTAATTGATAAAGTAACATCTACTTACCTAAGCCATATTTTTCATCTTTTTTCAAGTTGATCAAGTTGACCTCCCTTTCTGGTAAAGACACTATATTCTTCTCTGTTTGGAGACCATCTGCGGACCAAAGCAACAGCACATTTTTTTTAAAAAAATAATACTGAAATATAATGAGACAAATTCTATTTCTTAGCTACCACACTACATAAATCAAGCTTTGTTTCAATTCATTGTACAATTAAACCTTCCCAAAATTCAAAATGAATTAATGGTGAGCTTCAACTCTACATTGACAGTTTCAGAATGGATGTGGAAAAAATAAACATCTTCTTTCTACATGACATATTAGGGAGGTAATGAACATTTAAGAAACTGAATCATTCTGATCCATGACACAGCATGCAAGCAGCGAATGAACCAAGTTTGCCTGCAATACATGGAGACTTAAAAACGTGGACATTCTATTTTATGCTTTTGTAGTGTTTCCCATTTTAGGGTTGGGGTGTGTCAAAAGAGGAAGAATTTTGTTTTGCCTGCTTCTTTTGTTGAACCAATGTAATTCTCATTGCATAGATTATTTATATGGGTAGATGAGGAAAACTCATTCTTAGGATGACTCATTTCTCAGAGATGCCGAAAGCAAGAAAATGATCCAATGTTTCATAACATCATGTTAGCAGCTCTGCTCCTTGCCTACTTGGGTGCAAGGTTACAACTTCAGTACAAAAAACCTCACAAACTCAGTTTGTGTTATGGTGCCTGTTTTATAATTTGAACCCCTTGCCTCCCTGCAGAAATCCATGACACTTTTCTGAATGTTGTCATATCAAGAGCACTCTTGATGTGTAGGAGAAATCCCATTACTTTAAGAAATTATGTCGTTTGGTACTAGTAATAAGGAATGATGGGAATTTTTTTGCATATATGCAAAGCGGCAGGCTGATGTAGTCTGGTCTTAAATAGCTGGACTTACAATGTTAATATTTAGTTAGAATGCTTTCATCAAGATCTAGAATTGGTTTTCTCAAGATCTAGAACTTTCTCCATAGTTTCTTCTATCTGGTGCAATAACTACCCATCCCAAGGGTTTTTAGACACCTTTAAAATGTTTAATTTTGTCCTTCCATCAATTCGCCTATCAACTGACTTTTTGTACATATATTCTGGTTTTTATTTTACTCCACGTTTATTCTGAAATATTACTTAAGGTTTATTGAAGTGCATCAGGATTCTCTGCAATTAGCAGTGATATGGAAGGGTGTTTAATAAAGATGCATTTATTTTTATATCTAAATCATCTTTTAATCTTTTACGACAGCCCCATAAAGAAAGTTGGAGCCTTTATACTTGTTGTAGCAAAGAGAAGCTAAGGGAACAAACAACACAGCTTACCTATGGGGCTAAAATATAACACAAAAATTACCACTGTAATAAATTTGTCACATTTATTTGGTTCTCTTTTTTTCTGTAAGAAAGAGTTGCAATACTTTGGGACTCTCGTCAGTTACTTTTTCTTGAGGTGGGAAAAAGAATAAATTAACATTGGTTCCCCAAAAAGTGAGCAAACAAAGCATTAAATAACATTAGCATTCTCCCAAATAGTTCAGAACAAATTCACAATGTAAGTCAATTGTTAATAGCCAACTAGAAAATTGCTTAGGCTTCTAAATTGCACAGTACAATTGGACTGAAACCAAACAATGCTGACCTATTACAAAGGCTTGGTCTGTATCTTCTGTGGATGAAGAGTCAAATTCATTTTTCTTTCTTTCTAGGCTGGCATTTAAACCTGCATGGGAGTCTGAACTAAAAAATGGTTGAAGAAACAGAGTAGGGAAAAAAAGTGAGGAAAATAGAAAGCAGAAAAGAACAAAGGAAAAATGTAATAAAATAAAGATACAAGCTAATATGGTACACAAAACAGGCATAAAAATGCATACTTCACATCAAAGAACATGCTGGCAGAGATCTGTGAAATGTGAATAAGTTCAATTTATGTGCGTGGAAGCAAAGCACATGGAAATCAATATGAAAGGCAACCACAAAAAGAAGTTTTAAGCATGGTGGAATGAAAATGAATCCTGCAATGTACGTGAATGCAGTTCTTGCTTCCCCACAGTGGCTCCTGTTCCTACATCAGGAAAATTTCAGCCACAAATGGTTGGTTTTATAGTGCTGCAGAAGTGCTCAATGTTTCACTACTAAAAAAATGAATCTAAAAAGGAAACTTTCCTTGCCTTTGGCCTAATAATACCAGCTGCTTAATACAGTTTACAGACTCCTGCTTTTATATCTATAAAAAAAGTCTGGGATTATGTTTAATATCTGCAGTTAATTGTCCTTAAAAGTTATCTATGCTAATTTCCCATTAACACACAATATTTTGAAATGCTACCACTTCCACAGGGGGGCTCCTAAAAAAATTACCATGGTCACATTGCAAGTATTTTACAAGGAAATTCTTCTCGTATATTAGCTTCCCCAGATATATACAATGCTTGAAATCAATTCAATTCAATTTGATTTATTGCGATCAAAGACCAGCGCAGGTAATAGACAAATAAAATTTAGGATAGAGTTAAAATACATTTGTAAAATAGTGTATCATATTGAATCCGTGTTATAGCCTATATTAAATTAAATTAAATTGTAACACAAACACTAATTTATATTAAGTAAAAGAATCTAAAATTGCACCAAAGTAAAAGAATGCTTGAAATTCCAAAGGTGCTTTTTCAAGAGGCAACTGGACTTTCTTGTTTTTCTTTGAAGATGTTTCGCTTCTCATCCAAGAAGCTTCTTCAGCTCTGACTGGATGGTGGGGAATGGAAGGATTTATATTCCTTGCAGAAGGCTGGTCATTTGCATTCTTTTAGAGAGTCGTTGAGACCACTTGGAGGTTAATCTGTGTCCTCAGGGTCACCTGAGAAGTGCAAATGGGTCTGGAGCCTTTATATTCTTGCAAGGAATATAAATCTAAATGTATATAAATATAAATTCTCCACCATCCAGTCAGAGCTGAAAAAGCTTCTTGGATGAGAAGCGAAACGTTTTCAAAGAAAAACAAGAAAGTCCAGTTGCTTCTTGAAAAAGCACTTTTGGGACAACCATGACCTGGATGACTGAGAATCTTCATAGACAGTGTCTGAAATCCTACCATGAGGTTCAAAATTATGCATACTATACATATGAGCAACCAACTTTATCTCCTCTGCAGAAAGTACCTATTCAGCACCTACCATGAAGACGGCCATGTTAAAATCAATCCCTAAGAAACATCCTTACTTGTTGAGTTTTGCTCCTCCAACCACTGATTCGGTATTAGATTTTGGCGCTGTTTGAAAGATCTTCTCCATCAATTCCTCCATTTTCCGTGATGAGGAGTTCCCAGAGGCGGCAAAAGTTTTCCGAACGGGGCTGACCAACACCTGACTCTGTGTCAAGTCATGGAAAGATTTGCTCATAATTTTGGGTCTTTCCTCCCATGACGTCTTCTCGTTTTTGTCTCTGGAATATCCTTGGGCAGGCTGGAAAAGGGACAATTCTGAATAGGAGAGTCTTTTGAGAATCTCTGCTTGTACTGTCGATGGCCGGACAGCAAGCCTGTTCAACGTGCTGCTGGCCAGGCTGTTGGTACTGATGGCACGTCCCATGTTAAATCCTTTCACGGAATCAGGGTGGAGGCTGAGACTCCTAAGGGATGCTCTTTCTGCAAAGAGATGGAATTGGTTTATGCACACAATACATAAAAACAAATGAAATATGTCTCATTTAGATAACCCAGGAGAGATCAAGATAGCATCCAAAACCCAGCACTTATGCTTGTCCTCAGCACATTAAAAAAAATTGCAGCATCCCCATGGTCATATGATCAAAATTTGGATGATGTCCTGGGGTCATGTGACCACCTTTTGCAATCTTCTGACAAGCCAGATTCGCTTAACAACCATGTTACTAACTTAACAATTTCAGTGATTTACTTAACAACTATAGCAAGAAAGATCATAAAATGGAGCAAAACAATTTCACCTACCAACTGCCTTGCTTAGTGACAGAAATTTTGGGCTCAATTGTGGTCGTAAGTTGAGGACTATGTGTATACATTGATATATACTTCGAAAAGCATGCTTAGAACTGTCTATTCTTCATCTTGAGGAAAATAAGCCTTGCCCCAACCCCCAAATCTGGATGAAGTGAAGGAGAAGGTCACTTTGAAAGTCTACTTGGATGTGCATTATTACAAAGGATAAAAAATATAGTCACTCAGGTCGAGCACAAAAAACTGTATTGCCAGTACTTAAAAGACTAGCTACTAATGTTGTTCTTGAGAAATCCATATACTACTAAAACTCTGGTTCCCGTATACTTTAACTGGTGAAATAGTATATCATAGGGCAGGAGTAGGTAACCTTGGCTCTTTTATGACTCGTGGACTTCAACTCCCAGAATTCCTGAGCCAGCATGGCTGAGCTTGGAAACTCTCCCTTTCCCCTCAGCATGGCCGGCTCAGGAATTCTGGGAGTTGAAGTCCACGAGTCATAAAAGAGCCAAGGTTGCCTACCCCTGTCATAGGGCAACCATTTTTGAATCAAGGTACTTCAAGGTATTTAAAGAATGTGTACAAACTCTGGGACCCATGACTCTCATAAAATGGAAATTTGGCAATCTTTTACGAAACGTTTTATGCTATAAACATGATCATAAAACAGTTTATGGCATAATACAAAATGAAATAATACAAAATTTCCTGTGCTGATGTTTTAACTGTGCTATACAGTCTAACCTGGGCTATTTCAAGGCAGATACATCTCTGAAGGCTCCCCAACTTTTCCCATGAGGGCAGTGCATTAGAGGTTCTGTCATTGTTGAAAGCATTGTGGAATGTTATTTTAAATAAAAAGATTAAGTTGAATGAAAATACTATACATCTTAGAGCCTTAACTTTAAAATGTGTGGGAAATCCTTTTATCTATTGGCAAGGATAAACTCGCTGCAGTTCTTAAATCCTCTGACAGCTTATAATGTCAAAGGCTGTCATTTTCAGGTTCCAGAAAATATGATGGAAAGCATCACAAAATGGATAGCATCCTCTTTTGCCAATGCTGATAAAATAGCAACTGCTAATCAAGAGATTTCACAAATCTCATAAATTTTCAGCAATCCAATTCCTGCAACTCCTGCCCCAAATTGGGCTGAACAACGGTCTGGGTTGAAAAACATATTAATACAGTTTATGGCACAGCACATTTTAGGGGGTAAAGCAGCACTTGGCTAAAGCCAAAATTCCAGAGCAGACACATAGGATCAAATTGCAAGGCTCTTTAAATGCTCAAATTTACATCTTTTCCCTTTTATCTAGCTGGAACATGTTTGATTCTTTAAAGGCCTTCTAGTAACACTTAATCTTCAGCTAATACTTGCAGGTTTTTGACATTATTCCAAAAACAATTCTCTCTTTTCTAATGTCACTGCCCAGTGTTATACCACGACTCTCCTTATAAAAAGTTACATAAACCATCATCTCCTCCTCTAAACTGCCTCTTCATATCCATATCCTTTTGTCCCCTGGGCTGTGTGTTTTTTGTAGGGGAGAGGGAAGCATATGCAAAAGCTGAACTTTTTCTCCGAACTATTTTTTCTTTGTTAGTTTCTCAGTCATTACATAATAATAATAATAATAATAATAATAATAATAATAATAATAATAATAATAATAATAATAATAATAATAATAATAATAATAATAGTTGGAAGGGTCCTTGGAGGTCATCCAGTCCAACCTCCTGCTCAGGCAGGAAACCCTATACCATTTCGGACAAATGGCTGCCCAGTCTCTTCTTAAAAACTTCCAGTGTTGGAGCATTCACCGCTTCTGGAGGCAGGTTGTTCCACTGGTTAATTGTTCTAACTGTCAGGAAGTTTCTCCTTAGTTCTAGGTTGCTTCTCTCCTTGATTAGTTTCCACCCATTGCTTCTTGTCCTGCCTTCTGGTGCTTTGGAGAATAGCTTGACTCCCTCTTCTTTGTGGCAGCCCCTGAGATACTGGAACTCCGCTATCATGTCCCCCCTCGTCCTCTTCATTAAACTAGACATACCCAATTCCATCAACCGTTCCTTGTATGTTTTAGCCTCCAGTCCCCTAATCATTATGTCTGGAAATTTTCTTATTTGTATTATCTTAGTAGTGGCATGGTGGCTCAGTGGTTAAGATGATGAGCTTGAAGCCGGACAACCGGCAGCCCAGGTTTGAGACCCGAGTGCCATGCATAGGGGTGAGCTCCTGACCTTGCCCCAGCTCCTGCCAACCTAGCAGTTCGAAAGCATGCAAATGCGAGTAGATGAATAGGTACCACTTCAATGGGAAGATAACAGCACTCCATGACTTCATGACCGCGGAAATGTCTTTAGACAGCAGAGGTTCAATGGCCTTCAAAGAGAGATGAGCATCAACTCCTACAGACGGCAATGACTACGGAGTGAAATCTGCAGGGACTCCTTTTACTTATTATCTTAGCATGTACCAATATGTGCCAACAGTTACTGACAGGTGAACATGCCAAGATTTATCTACAGCAGAGGCCCCCAACCTTTGGGGCACCAGGGACCGGTTCTGTGGAGAGAGGGTTTCCCAAGGACCAGAGGGGGCGTGGTTTCGTGCGCTGCCTGCATGCAGTGAATGGGGCTTCGCTTGTTTGTGCGGGCTGGTTTCTGGCCTGCTGCGGACCGGTGCCAGTCCATGGACCAGGGGTTGGGGACCCCTGGTCTATAGTATTTACAATGCCTTAGTAAGGCCACACTTGGAATACTGCATCCAGTTTTGGTCACCACGATGTAAAAAAGATGTTGAGACTCTAGAAAGAGTACAGAGAAGAGCAACAAAGATGATTAGGGGACTGGAGGCTAAAGCATATAAGGAACGGCTGCTGGAATTGGGTATGTCTAGTTTAATGAAGAGAAGGACAAGGGGGGACATGATAGCAGTGTTCCAATATCTCAGGGGCTGCCACAAAGAAGAGGGAGTCAAGCTATTCTCCAAGGAGCCTGGAGGCAGAACGAGAAGCAACGGATGGAAACTGATCAAGGAGAGAAGCAACTTAGAACTAAGGAGAAACTTCCTGACAGTTAGAACAATTAACCAGTGGAACAACCAGCCTCCAGAAGCGGTGAATGCTCCAACACTGGAAGTTTTTAAGAAGAGACTGGATAACCATTTGTCTGAAATGGTGTAGGGTTCCTGCCTGAGCAGGGGGTTGGACTAGATGACCTCCAAGGTCCCTTCCAACTTTATTATTATTGTTATTATTATTATAACTTCATTGAATACTGATATTTTACAGGTACAAGATGTCACATGTTAGTTCAGAGAAAAGTGGGCTTGATCCAGGCAGGTACTGAGTCATTATCCACCTAGTCCTCAGGGACTAGGACTACTTTCCCAATAGATGCTATCCGGAAATGTCAGACTTCAGCTCTCCTAATCTTTTAATTAACATGCCAGACATTGCTATGTCAAGGAATTGTGGTTCTGCAAGTGACTACCTCCGAGAAATATGTCGTGCATATTTTAAGAATAAGTCTTACAGAGAGGAATTACAACTCAATTGAGAGCAGAGAGGATGCTTTTTATGTTTCAAGTTTCACCTTCATTCCCTAGCATTTCCTGATAGAACAGCAGGGAAAGATCCTAGCCTGAGGCTCTGCAAAGTTGCTGACAGTTGATTGACAATATTGGATTAGATGTAGCAACAGTCTGACTGTAGGCAGTTTGACTGTAGGTGAGGTTTCTTTTATAGTGGCTGTTCTCAAGTTCAACAGGTCTAGTCTGGTTAATGGTTAGACCACCTGGAGAGTCAATGGAAGTCACTTTGTATTATTCAGTGAGGAAAGAAAAAAGCAGAATATGTGCTCAGAAATAGATCACTATTTTAGCATATTGTTAATCTGAAGATGAAAGGGAAATAGCACTCAATTTTATTTAACCTCTTTTCATCTAATTTCAATCTCTTTAAATCCCTTTGAACATGTGAAGCAGTGAGGGAATTCTTATTTGGGGTAACTGATGATATAAACAAAACTTAGACCTACTTTAGGCGATATACTTGTTTCAATAAACTTCTAATATGAGTGAACAAAGTGAAATACCGATTGGAATTATAAATATTTGTTTTGGAACGAAAAACTGGATTTTTAAATCACAGATAGGGAATCACAATATGAAATATTCTTTTGTTTTGCTGAAATAATGAAGTAAACTATCTGCTGTTGGCTGGACGACCACTGATAATAGAGAAAACACTACTAGACATAGAATTCAACAGAAAATAATGTTCTGTACAGGTAGCCCTCGACTTACAACAGTTTGTTTAGTGACCGTTCAAGATACAACGGCACTGAAAAAAAGTGGCTTATGACCATTTTTCACACTTATGACTGTTGCAGCACCCCCATGGTCGCATCATCAAACTTCAGGTGCTTGGCAATTGATTCATATTAATGACGGTCACATAACCACCTTCTGACAAGCTAAGTCAATGGGGAAGCCAGATTTACGTAACAGCCATTAGCTGCAGCGATTCTAACAAAATGAAATTCAATGGTGAAAAAAGTAAGGTTCTACATTTAGGCAAGAAAAACCAAATGTACAGGTATAGTATAGGGGGTACCTTGCTCAATAGTAGTAACTGTGAGAGGGATCTCGGAGTCCTAGTGGACCATCACTTAAATATGAGCCAACAGTGTGCTGCAGCTACCAAAAAAGCCAACACAGTGCTAGGCTGCATTAACAGAGGGATAGAATCAAGATCACGTGAAGTATTAATACCACTTTACAATGCCTTGGTAAGGCCACACTTGGAATACTGCATCCAGTTTTGGTCACCACGATGTAAAAAAGATGGTGAGACTCTAGAAAGAGTACAGAGAAGACCAACAAAGATGATTAGGGGACTGGAGGCTAAAGCATATGAGGAAAAACTGCTGGAATTGGGTATGTCTAGTTTAATGAAGGACGAGGGGGGACATGATAGCCGTGTTCCAATATCTCAGGGGCTGCCACAAAGAAGAAGGAGTCAAGCTATTTTCCAAGGCGCCTGAAAGCAAAACAAGAAATAACGGATGGAAACTAATCAAGGAGAGAAGCAACCTAGAACTAAGGAGAAACTTCCTGACAGTTAGAACAATTAACCAGTGGAACAACCTGCCTCCAGAAGCGGTGAATGTTCCAACACTGGAAGTTTTTAAGAAGAGACTGGACAGCCATTTGTCTGTAATGGTATAGGGTTTCCTGCCTGAGCAGGGGGTTGGACTAGATGACTTACAAGGTACCTTCCAACTTCATTATTATTATCATTATCATTATCATTATCATTATCATTATCATTATCATTATCATTATCATTATCATTATTATTATTATGTGACAACTGTGGCAGGAAAAGTTGCAAAATAGGTTAAAACTCGCTTAACAGCTTGCTTAGCAACAGAAATTTTGAGCCTGTCCGTTACAGTCTCAAGACGCGACAGTCGTTAAGTGAGGCACCGAGGTGATCGCCTCACTTAATGACTTCAACCCCTGCTCTCCCCACTGTGGTTGTTAAACAATCACACAGATTGTTAGTACAGAGGGAAAGTGATTCAGCAAAGGAACAGCCACCGAAGAAATTAAAACTGATCCTTTTTTTTTCTACAGTTTGTAATATTTTATTAGAATATAGAATTAAAATACAAAAATACAAAAGCAAATAGTAGGAAACAGTGGGGGGGGGGAGAAAAATGAGGGGGAGAAGGGAAAAAGAACAGACCTCCTCTGTTGCAGTAGAAAGAAGCATTAACCTTAGAAAAAATATTGGGTGAACAAGTTGATTTTAAACCTGAACTTTTTTTACTAGGTATAATGCCTGAAAAGATTAATAAGCAGAAATTATATTTAATCTTACACATCACCACAGCAGCGAGAATAATTTTTGCACAATACTGGAAGAATGAAGGATTGCCATCAGAAGAAGAAATAATCAGGAAAATATGGGAATGTGCAGAGATGGACAGATTAACTATGAGATTGAAAGATAAAGAAGATACAGACTATTATCAAACTTGGGATTTATTTTATTGTTGGCTAGAGGAAAGAATGAAGGATTAGGAATTGAACATGTATTAGCATAGCCAATTCCAGACAACTCGTTGATTGGAAAAATTAACACATGTTTATGAAAAAAAACACCAATAAAATCTTTTTTAAAAAAAATAAAAAAAGAAAGAAGCATTAACATTGAACCTCAACTTTTTTACTTTTCCATAATATTATCAAATAGCCATTTCTATAACCACAAATGAATCTAATCAGTAAAACCCCAAATCCCCCCCCCCACTTTTTTTTTCTTTAGTCATCAAGTTTTTGACACCTTGCTAAGGACTGGTGGTACTCAAATATTGTCATGTCCTAAAAGTGGTACAATCTGTGAAAAGGTCGAAAAGCCCTGCCTTAGGTTAATTCTGCGTAATTAGGTCCAGGAAATCTGCAATCCTAGCAAGGTACACAGCTGCCGTTTCTTACCAATTTCCTGAGCATCCTGGTTGCTCTGCCTGGCTTTCATCTGGAGCTGGAATTTGTGCTGTGCAGAGCAGACCTGTAACAAGTATTGGCAGGTCTTGGTTGTATCTGTTTGGAACGTGTGCTTTATACCATCCGAATTGTTCTGCAGTGTTATCTTTCTTTTCTGCAATATGACAAATAGGGGGGGGAAAGAACCTGATTTCCAGCTTGGAAAAGATACACTGTTCAAAACGAAAGAAAACCTGCAGTGGGAAAGCAATCCAGCTTGAGCGTGTATTGAAAATACCGATTACAGGAAACCTGAGGTATGAAATCCTTGCGTACACTCATGCATACGGAATTAAATGTTTTGCTCAATGTGCAAAAATACGTAATTTGGACGTTTTGAAAATGTTTAAGTAGTCATGCTGGGCTAATACAAAGCTGTTTGGAGTACAGCAAATGTATCAACTTCCAGATAGGAGGTAATCTTAAAGTGCATTAGTGCAAATTCTTGTTGAAGTTCTCACTGTATGCAGAAAGATAGTATACTAAGAAAGCCAATGCATTAAGTCTGGGATGAGCAATGATTTTTTGAATTAGAAGATTGAGATATCTACATTCCCAAATGGGACAATCTTAGAAGGAACACACGGTGTGCTTTCTCCATTACTGATCCTGCTAGATCAGGGGTGTCAAACTCAATTTCATTGAGGGCTGCATCAGCAATGCGGTTGCCCTCGGGGGGCCGGGTGGGTATGGCCGCCAGGGTGGGTACGGCCTACTGGGTGGGCATGGATGGAGTGGGTGTGGCCTACTGGGTAGGCATGGCCAGCTCTACATTGTTCGCGTCAAGGGTGCCTGTGGGGGCCTGGGCAGAAGTGGGAGAGATCTGAGGGTCTCTGGCAGAAGGGGGTGGGACCGGGGCAAGCGCCAAGGCATGGTCCATTTCTTCATTCCTCACAAAGGGTGACACCTCGCCAGCATGCACCCAGGGGGCGGGGCCGACACGGCAGGGGCTGGTTCCTCGCTGTTTCCAGACGGCCTTGTGGAGCTAAGATTGAATGCATTTCAGCATAAGTGGCCACCACAAAATTGTACATTGGCTCCCGGCCGGCCTGGGCCAGGACCAAGGCAGCGGGGGCCGTTCCCTCACTGTTTCCAGGATGGCTTCGTGGGCCACATGAAACCATTTCGCAGGCCGCATCTGGCCCCCGGGCCTTGTGTTTGACATGTCTGTGCTAGATATTCTTTTGTTAGATGGAACCATATTCTGTCCGAATAGCTAGCAGCCTTGGCAAACTTTCTCCTCTCCTGAAAATGGGCTTCTTCATCACAATCCGAATCATCTGGTTTTTATTACTAACATATTTACTGCACACTATGGAGCATCTTATATCATCTTGGTTCTTTGTTATGTTTGGCACACCATTATTTCAATACCGTAGGTAACTCAGCTGGAGTGGGGAGAAAGAGAAGAAAGGCATTTAATGATCCAGTCTGCAATTTTATATATATACATTAAAAAAATGACCAACATACACTGAAGGAAATTTTCTTTGTTTCTCTCCACGGGAAACGAAGGACAGGCATTCGGGCACCGTTGTGAACTTCAAAAATGATAACTCCTTTGGAGCAAACTCCCAGCAGAATTCCGGTCTGAGATTTTTTCTCTGGCAACACCCGATGAAAATGTACACCATAATTTGTCAGTCTTTGGCAAATCTGCCAAATAGAAGAGAGGAAGTCAGAGAGACGGAGAGAAAGAAGTGCACGATACTTATTTTGAGAATACCGTGAGATCAAAATGATTTTTCATGGGTTGCCTTTGAACTTTGCATTACAATGAAGCTGGTTACACATTTTATTTCTTAATTCCTAGAGCGAGAACGTGTCACCTTTTAGTGACTGAGAGACAGATTTAAACATTTTGGGGCAAGATGACAGCAAATTGCTTAGGACCTTTTCTACAAATGGGCTGGTTTAGGGGTTTTCTGTTATTACTTGGATTCATTTATTCCTTCGACAAAAGAAAATCTATCAGAACTTGGAGAAAATCCAAATATCATTTTAACACCACCTAAAGGACGTTGTCTTACTACTCTCCCATATATAGGACAAAGTTGAAAGTTGTTAAGATTTGTCTCCTTTTACTTAAGGTACAACGGTCAGAACGTTTAACACGTAATAACGCTCAACACGTAAAAATAGACGAGAAAAAAAAAAAAAATCTTTTTGTTACAGAACCAAATAGGCAAAAGGGAATAATTGACTGGGTTTAAGTGTTTCTGTGACATGATTAACCAGGTAAAGTTAGCTTACCTTGTTTTTGAGCTAGTTTTACTTTAACTATAATTAGCTGATGTAATCAATTGGTCCCTTTTTAGCATTCCAAAAAGCAGTAATCTCTCCACTGACACAATTAAACATGTTGTGGGAAAAGAGGGTTTGTGCGCTCATTATTTATAATGAGATCTTAGTGAATAAATATATATGAAACCCCTTGTTAACTGCAGACTGCAGGGGAGGGTAACCACCAACCTGTATACAAGCATATACCCACCAATTGTTACAGATATATATTCCGGGCCCTGTTAATTTGGAGCAGGGGTAGTCAACCTTGGCTCTTTTATGACTCGTGGACTTCAACTCCCAGAATTCCTGAGCCAGCTAAGCTGGCTCAGGAATTCTGGGAATTGAAGTCCACGAGTCATAAAAGAGCCAAGGTTGACTACCCCTGATTTGGAGGGTTCCCAGCTTTTTTGAAAGAGGTAAGATTCACTGCCCCTTTCATTAGGATAGGAAAACCTTTTATGAAAATACGTAGAATTTCTAACCTTCAGAAATTCTATTTCAGCTTCTTTTTCAGAAGCACCTGCATAGGTGCTATGCAGCTTTGGCAATTCTTCTTTCACATTGGGTAGCTCCAGATTCTCTATCACTCTTGCCGGCAAATAGTATTCTGTTCTGAAGTAGGATAAGCCATGTACCTGCAAAGAGAAGCATCACGGTGTAAGCCATAACCCTGATCCCAGCTACCTGTAACTGGACGCTCTGCCAGTTCAATAATGGCTGAGTAGCATAACCGCAGGTGATGCAGAATATGAGACAGCTTCCTTGGCGACCTCTACACCGCTGCCAAAACCTTCCTACCAACCATTTGTCCAGAATGAAACCTGAGGTCTTTTGCTCAAAAGCAGGGGGTTGGACTAGAAGACCTCCAAGGTCCCTTCCAACTTTATCATCATTATAATCAAACCTCCAAGGTCCTTTCCAGTGTTGTTATTCTATGTTCTATGTTCAATCATCACTCCTAGACAACGATTGTAACATTAAATAAGATCCAGATATCAAAAAGTGATCAGATCTTTCTGAAAATTGCAAGCCTAGGCTTTTTAAGAACTCATTTTTGCACTGACTGCGGGGATGTTAAAGATGCTCAACAGCAAGCACAATTTATTACTTGAATAAGTAAATAAATTTATGCTGGTATGCTGTAATGAATAAATAAGTCCTCTAATAGTCCATTATGTGCAATGTTTATTCTACATTTAAGCAGCCTGGCTGATGTCTTTCTTCAACTATTCACATCTGTTAATAGTTGGCAAAACTTTTTAACTGTACTTTACTGGAGCTATTATAGAAACCATTTTTCTTCTGATATTTGTACTATTTGCACAAAATCTAATTCGCCCCTACAAACTTGATTACAGAACCAAGATGCTTGTGGCCTTTGGAAAGGCTTTTCTCTAGTTAGTAAGTTATCAAGTCAAACTATAAATACAACTAAATAGAGACCGCAGACAAAATGCTTATCAATAGCTAGGATTCTTTGAAGGCAGTTATGAATCTTCTATGCTTGCTTTGATTTCCTTTGTATATCTCTGTGGTGGTTATAATCAAATGAAGTAGGAAAACAAAAGCATATCTACTTGTCTATGTGCCTAATGGTAGGGCCAAATATTTAATTCACCTTTAGACGTTTCTTGAATCATGTTCTGGGCAAACCCAGAATCTACATGCTTCGCTATGTAGGTCATCACTTAAAGCAGAGGTCTTCAAACATGGCCCTTTTATGACTTGTGGACTTCAACTCCCAGAATTCCTCAGCCAGGCACGCTGGCTGAGGAATTCTGAAGTCCACAAGTCATAAAAGGGCCAAGTTTGAAGACCCCTGACTTAAAGCGTAACTTGTACAGGTCAGGAACTCATATTTTCAGAGTGTGTAGATGAATTCAAAATAATTACCCTCAACAGAGGGAGAAAGCTACATCTCTGAATGAACATCACTATTTATGCCTCCTTCTATCCACAAAACTGCTCACACCTTACTCTGCATCGGTCTCAGGTGTGTCCAAAATTAGACCTTTCATTCATTTGAAAGAGATCATTTGTGGAATTTCTGTACAAGTCCATATCTGAAGAAATTTCAATGATATTATGAGAGCTTTTGCAGCTGTGACATGATGATGGTTTTAATAGTTATTATTTTATATGGACCAGAAACCTTAAGCAGTGTGTTAACAACTTCCGGAATGAATATCAAAAAAGTAACCGAAGTCAGAAGTTTGAGAAACAGTTGCCTCATTATTAGTTAAATTAGTGCATTAATGTTTAGTTATTATTTTCTTTTGACATAAACAGGAAGCCTCCCAGTCCTTTTACCATTACATTTGTTCCATAAAACTGGATTATTTTGGCTTCAAGACCCTAATTGGGAGAAGATATTGATCTGAGTTCTATGGCTACAAACCAATTCAATTTGGAAAAACTTTGAATTCTTCTCTTCTGCTTCCCAACTGCACATCTACTGAACCTTGACACTATACATGATCGGTTTGGTAGGCTCTACGTAAGTTGATATTTTATTCGTATCTTAATCCTCCAACGGTTGTTCACTTTTTAGAGGAATGAAGGAGAACCATTAGAGGTATAAGACGGACCTCCCGGTTCCTCCGGTCGTTATTCCGACAAAGTAGTAGTGTTACATGGAAGAGAAGTTCTTCTAGAAAGGAATTGACATCGTAATACTGATGATATGTCAATGTGTGCCTGGAGCAAATCAAAAGAGGTGAGAAGAAGAAACAAACAGGTCATAAGATGTGGAAATAATGACTGTATGCAGATTAGCTCAAGATGGTGATTCCCTTTTATGCAATGGCCCTTTTGTACAACATGGTTAACCAGATCATGGGGGAACAGGTTGAATGTATTATGTGAATGGGGTTTTTTTTTGCCAGGATTTTAAATGTTAGTTGATTTTAGTTTTCATTTTATGTCTCAGCCTTTATATTATGTTTTTACATATGGTTAGATACTGTAGTGAACCCTGAGATATAAATTACATGAATGAATGAATGAATGAATGAATGAATGAATGAATCAATCAATCAATCAATCAATGCACAAATCAATCAATCAATCAATCAATCAAGGTCTTGTAGCAGGTATTTCTACAGCACTGCAGATGTTCAAAGCACATGACAAACAAAGGTCAACAATTCCAGGTCTCCATGGTGCCATTTGGAAAAACCTGGAACAATCTTCATTTTCACAATTATGTTCCCCAAGAAAGATTAGTCTGGCTAGACTCTCCATATCAGAACTGGCTTTTTAATTTACCTGGTAGATGGTTCAAATGCAATAGCAATAAACAAGCAGCATGAAAATACTTTGGGCTGGCAAAGAAATATTTAGGTATTCCACCACTACATTTGCTCTATTGCCTATATGGAATTCATGCATATATTGCCTATATGGAATTCATGCATGGAACTCCTGACCAGTCAGGATGTTGTTAACAGAACACAGCAAGTTGGGATCATCCCTTTGTTGCCCTTTCCCTTCTATCCAACGAAGGAATAGAAACTAGGACAGGACCATCGTAATTGTGTGTGGCTTGTAGAAAGCAAGACAACTTGGCAGCATGTTGACTTCCCCAGTAGAACACGGACATGGTAGAAGAATGATTTTAAAACACAACACAAATGTACTCACTGAATGAGACTAATATCATCCACAAAGAACTTAATCCGGAAGTACAAGACAAAGTTTACTGTGTTTTTGTTCCTTTTCTTGGATTCTTCTTTCCAGCCATCAGGAGCTACTTTAGTTAGCTTCAGCTCTGGATCGATGAAGAAATACTCGTTTTCTGTCATCAAAAGGTAAATCAACACAGAACATTCATAAGACAGCACAGCTTAGCTGCTCTGCTTTGGTGATATATCCACAAGCAGTCTCCCAAATACCTGATTCTATTTGTTCAACAGAAAGAAATCAGCCTCCATCAGAGGAATTTAACTGTGAACAGCTGTGATAAGGATTAAGCTATCAGCGGATTCTCTTAATGAATGCAGAAAATAAAGCAAAGTGGATAATAGAAGGATTTCTGAGAGCCAGGGCAGGGACACATTCCCATCTATACATATTTACTACTGGCCTGATGAAAGTAAAAGTTTTCTAATGGCTGTCTGAGGCCCAAATGAATCATCCCTTATAGATATGATGGTTATCTTCTGGAACCCTCAGTAAGGATCTGCTAGCTGGGGAATTCTTGGAGCTGAAGTCCACATATTGAAGGATTCCCAGGTTAGGGGAAAGTTTACCTAGATATTCCCTACCCCACCCTGTTATCATTATCATTATCATCATCATCATCATCATCATCATCATCATCATCATCATCATTGTAATAATAATAGTAATAGTAATAATAACAGTAATAATAATAGTAGTAGTAATAATAATAATAATATTAATAATAATATTAATATGGTTATTCCAGCTTGCAGGACTGGCCTAGGGGAAAATTTTTAATGGGGGTTTTAAAGTAATTTTAAATTAATCAGACCAATTATGAATATTTGTTTTTAATTATGTTTTAATCTATAGTTTTGGGATTTGCATTTTTATCTGGTTGTTAGCCGCCCTGAGTCCGCAAGGAGAAGGGCGGGATATAAATATAAACAAAAGTAATAATAATAATAACAACAACAAAGTTGGAAGGGACCTTGGAGGTCATCTAGTCCAACCCCCTGCTCAGGCAGGAAACCCGATACCATATCAGACAAATGGCTGTCCAGTCTCTTCTTAAAAACTTCCAGTATTGAAGCATTCACCGCTTCTGGTTAATTGTTCTAACTATCAGGAAGTTTCTCCTTAGTTCTAGGTTGCTTCTCTCCTTGATTAGTTTCCATCTATTACTTTAGGCACTTTGGAGAATAGCTTGACTCCCTCTTCTTTGGGGCAGCCCCTGAGATAGTGGAACACTGCTATCATGTCCCCCCTCATCCTTCTCTTCATTAGACTAGACATACCCAATTCCAGCAACCGTTCCTTGTATGTTTTAGCCTCCAGACCTCTAATCATCTTTGTTGCTCTTCTCTGTACTCTTTCTAGATTATTTTGAATGATCAAGCTGCCAATTAATTTAATATTCTTTCCATCTTTACCTTTTTACCTTTACCCGTCTGGATCAGGATATTGTGCCAGACTTCATATGGGGGCAAAGAAGGAAAAGTTAATTCTTCCAAGCCCTTCCATTTTCCCAACTTAAAATTCTTCTGAAAATGCTATTTGAATGGTAACAAAATCATGGGCATGTGTGTTTTTGCTATGAGGACAAATAGCTGGGGATTTTTCATTAAGAAAATGGCAAAGGGAAAAAATAATTATTCTCCTTTCTCTACAAACCTGTTTCAATTCAAACCAGTTGCCTCTATTATGGGAAACAAATTTAGAGAGAAAGATGAATTTGCATATCTCTGTCATAAAGGGTAGTCTGGTCCCAGGAAAACGTGGAATTTATTTTTGTGGTCAGTAATGACTCATCATGTATGTAACTTACCCTTTGATATCAAATGAAACAAATCCAGATAAATGCAATTATTTTTCTCACCTTTTAAAGAAGCTAATCCAAACAAGTGATGCTCCATTAAACCAATATGGGCAACTACCATATCAAATACATCTTTGCATAAGGTCTTAGTATCACAAGTCAATTCTAATCTTTGGCCACTTAAAAGTATGATGTTGACTTTCCGGCGATTGTCTTCATTCTTCCCTTTCTTGTTCTGATTTTCAAACAAGCAAAAAGAAGACTATCAACAATGATACAAAACTGCATACAAAGGACCATAAATTGTTAAATACATCCTTTTTTAAAAAAATCCACCTTTCTAATATGACAAAGGAAATAGAAAGTGAAGGGAATGTTAATTTTATCTTTTGAAAATAAAGTTACAGAGGAATATAATACTGCAATGTGGAACTCATATCAACTAGGGCTACATGCAGTTTTGCTTGCCACGTTCCTTTTTAAAATATATGCAGGAGGATATGACCAAGGCACTGTCAGCCACTCAAATACTAAGTGTACAACTAAATGATATCAGTTCTCTATTTCAGTTACCTTGGTGTCAGAAAACATCATTTATAAAAATGTACCACATTGGTACTGCTAAGACAGAATATGTGATGAAAGGAAAGCAGTAATTATATAAATCATCTGCATTATAGAAACACCGTTAAGAGCTTCCAAATTCCATTAATTTCAAAGTACTAAAAATGATGTAAAAAGCAAGCTAGTTATGTTGGAGCGACATAGACCCAAACTTTAGAAGTTGTAAAAAAAAAAAAAGCATTATAGCATTCCCAAGACTATATTTTGATAATCTAATATTCTATTACAAGGGCAGAGCCCCCACTTTAAAAAAACAAAACAAAAACCTCCTTGCATTGCTAACAATGTGAAAGAAAACATTAATCTACTCAAAGAGGAAAATTCCAGACACTGGGGATGAAGGATCAGTTATGTAGTCAGAAGTGAAACAAAAGGTTGTAACCCAGCACAAAATCACATCATCCTAATGAAGTAAACTGCAGAAACAGTTTCATGGAATAAAAATAATTTCATTAAACTGAGAAAGGAAGGGAAGGGAAGGGAAGGGGAGAGCAGGGGAGGGGAGGGGAGGAAAGGGAATTATCTGAATTGTACAGTATGAAAGACAAAGAAAACTCTCTTCCCAATCTCTAGAGGTGGTGTTGAAAGCTCGTGATGATTGTCACACAACTTACCAGATAAATATTGCACGTGGATGATTGTCTAAAAAGGGGGCAAAGAATCCACTAAGAGAAATGAAGCAAATTAAGAATATAGGAAGGATTTTACACGAGAAAAAAACATAAAGATCACCAGATACCGTACAATCAGATCACTGCTAGCTACATGCTTCTTACTGATGGTACATTTACAACAAAGGTCTTACCAGAATTGATTTTGGCAGATCCAAGGAGGTAAAGGGTTCAATGGTCGTTTTTACAAACTCAGGACCAAAGAAATTCTGCAAATTAGAGAAACTCATTTTAGCATTCATGTGATCAAAGACTGATAAGCAATTGAAGACTTGATGGGAATAATGTTCATAGTTATTGCAGAGGGGAATTACGGATTGGAAACAGCTCTTCCCAATGAAGTTTAGTGCACATAACAAATCTATTCATTTCTAAGATTCCATTAGGTAAACATTCTATACATTAAACAAATAAATGTTGCTTGTCTAATTAAATAATTGCCTTATGAAACCTGTTGCTTTCCAGATCAGTTGGGAAAATTACTATTCCTCTAGAACAGTGGTGGCGAACCTTTTAGAGACCGAGTGCCCAAACTGCAACCCAAAACCCACTTATGCATCATTGGGTGCTGGGTGGGTGTGGCCCACTGGGTGGGCATGGCCCATTAGGTGGGCGTGGCTGCGGTGGTAACGGCAGACTGGGTGGGACTAAAAAGTTCAATCAATCAATTCCAACTTTGCAAGATCTTTTTTTTCCCGCGAGAAGTTGAAATTGACTGATTGATTGAACCTTTTTTTTTTTTGCACACGGCGGCGGAGGCTTAAAGCGAAAAGGTTTTATAAAACCCAGCTGAAGGCCTAGGACTGGGGCGACGGTGTGCATGCCCCCAGAGAGGGCTCTGAGTGTCGCCTCTGGCACCCGTGCCATAGGTTCGCCACCACTGCTCTAGAAATTCCCATCCTAAGAATTTATCTTGGAATTCTGGAAACTGTAATCCCAACACAAGGCATAAAGATGAGGAAATATAGAAGTAGCAATAGTCATTCAAGCAGCCATCTTCTATCATGACATGGAAGGATGGACTTATATTTTCCTTCCTGTATATTTCCTGATGAAAGCCAGTAAGACAAATGAACGGCGTTCCCAAGGCATGATGATATACTAGGAAAATTTCTCCTGCCACGAAAACTTGATACGCACATAAAACTGTAACTGAATTTTAGAATATCAATTAGAATATTAATGCTAATTAGTTAATTAGAATATTAGAATGTTTCAAATATTTAATTAAAATAGAATTTAATCAGAATTAGAACATTCTAATTAGTCAACTTTTTTATAAAACACACACACATCTTTCTAAAACAGATGCAGTGTTAAAGGAGCAATCTAACTGTATTATGGGTGATTTGGAAAAGGTCAACAGCATCAGCAGGAAACATTCCAGGATACTTCTGAGTCATTAGTTTCCTATTTGTCATGATGTTGTGTCAAACCTAGATTGCTTAAACCATCTCTGCTACTGTTGGGGCATGTAGTAGGAATCTCAAGAATCTCCATAGGGATAACATTTTCTAAGACAGAATGGCTTTTATGGCCTATCAGGACATCAAGCATGAAATAAGTAAATAAAAATCATACACACAGAGACACACACAGACCGTATGAACACATTTTATTCCAAACACGGACACAAAACATATACGCTAACACCAGAACAGAGCAAAATATTGTTAGAAATGACTATCAACTGTTATAAAGAATTAATTTGTATTCATCCAACTGTATTGGTCAACCACTTAAAGTAAGAGTTGGCAACTGATGACTCACAACTGTTTCTAGCCATTGTTTGAAGCTTCTGGGATTGTCCAAAATTGGACCACTGAAATTTGTCAATCAATGGCTAAAAGGAAAACATTACTAGGGAGGGAGGGAGGGAGGGAGAGGAGGAAGGAAGGAAGGAAGGAAGGAAGGAAGGAAGGAAGGAAGGAAGGAAGGAAGGAAGGAAGGAAGGAAGGAAGATGTGTTAACCCCTCCACTCTGCTTAGCACACTGTTTTTTTAAAAGATGCAATCCTTGGCCCATCACTGTCTTAACATTACCCTTAGCTTCCTTTGTGTCATAGCTGTTTCCAAAGCAATTTCTCTAAGTGGATCCTTTGTCATATCAAGCACACTCGGCCGCACTATGTCTCCAGGATAGAGGCTGAGCCGAGACTGCCGGAGAGCCATTTTAGCTTGCAGTTGCATCATCTCCTCCTCCTGGCGCTTCAACATTACTTCTTGGCTCAACAGGTTGTCTTCAGGAGTTGCTTCATACTGCCTGTTGGTGAAAAGGAAAGTGGGGAAAAAAATCTTATTGCCAGTATGGTTCTGTAGCAGAGTTTAATAGAAAACCCAGCTTATAGACATAGGTTCATAAAACTGTGTAGTTGCATGAGACCACGAAGAAGAAGAAGAAGAAGAAGAAGAAGAAGAAGAAGAAGAAGAAGAAGAAGGAAGAAGAAGAAGAAGAAGAAGAAGAAGAAGAAGAAGAAGAAGAAGAAGAAGAAGAAGAAGAAGAAGAAGAAGAAGAAGAAGAAGAAGAGAAGAAGAAGAGGAGGAGGAGGAGGAGGAGGAGGAGGAGGAGGAGGAGGAGGAGATAGATAAGGAGGACAGGCTTCTACTCTATGTCTGTAAGCTAATTATTACATGGAAGTTCCTTCTATTTAAATGTGAAATCTTAACTTCTAAGAATCTCTCAAAAGCCTTCCTTTACTTGACTAAGATTTTTAGGTCAGCCTACAAATGCAGCTGAACCCCTGAACTTCTTGGTTTGCTTTGTTAAATCAGGGCACAGGAATTACTTATTAACTTGGTGCTGGCATGATTATCACTCAGCTGGAAAATGAGTATACGCAGAAGAAATATTTGCCTCTTGTACTTACTGAAGCGTTGTTGCATATACGGTTACTACCAAGGTTAAGGAATAAATTAGGTAATGCAGAATAAAAAGTAAAAGTATAGAGACAAAATATCAGAATGGCAAGGTACAAATTTAACCCAGAGACCCATCATTTTAGGGACAGAAATATTTTTAGCAGAAGATTGTTCAGCACATTGCCATTAACCAAAGTTTACCTTATACAATATCCTTTATTTCTTACATTGATTATTTTTTTCCCCACAGCCTAGTAGCATAACTATTTGTGTCGGGGGCAAGCAAACAGAGCCAGCCATAAACAGCTAGACCAAGCATCTTTATTGGCTCTACCTACGTTACAAGACTCTCCCCAGACTATTTGTCTTTTCTTGGTAAGGCTTCATGGATCTTGGGGAGGTAAAGCTTATGCCACTTGTGGCTGCGCAACGATTCCAAGCTGAGCCCACATTTGACCCCTCATTCCAGTCTAGCTGGCGGTTTCCCAACAATTTGGTGGGCAAATGATAAGATGAGGTGAGGTGAGATGAGATAAAATAAGACAAGGAAAGATAAACCTTTATTGTCATTTTTTACTGTGAGCATATTGGCACACATTAAAAATGAAATTCTGTTACCTGCTCTCAAAAAAAAAGTATATATATACCCATACACACTTACATAACACAGATATACAAATGCTATACACATACACGCAAACACATATATATCACTGTCCAAATAATAATAATAAACCAAAAAAAGTCTGGATAGTGGACATTGCAGAACTTGAACACAGCATAAGGCCCATCTATTCCGTGAAGGCCCATCTATTCCGTGCGGCCGGCTTGGCGTAGTTTAATTATGTTTCAGTGGTTTTTTTTTTTTTTTTTTTACGGGTGTGTTTTTAGAACAGGCCTGTTATTTAATTCGATTTTAAAACAAACTATTTATTTATTATCGTGGTTTTTAGTATCGCCTGTTCACCGCCCTGAGTCCCGCAAGGGAGATAGGGCGGTATAATAAATAAATAAATAAATAAATAAATAAATAAGTAAGTAAGTAAGTAAGTAAGTAAGTAAGTAAGTAAATAAATAATAGAAGAGAAAGAACTGGAAAAATACAAAGACCTCCAAATATAAGTAGAACAACTGTGGCAATAGAAAACAAAGATAGTATGAACATTAATAGGCGTATTGGATACAATCCCAAAACAACTGGAGCACTACTTGAACACCATTGGCATCGACAAAATCAGTCAATTGCAAAAGGCAACTTTACTTAGAACATCTTACATCCTGCAATGATACTTTATTAAATATCAGCACGTGCCCTATCTCTATCAGGGAAGGACCTGATAGGTGGATAACAATGCCAAATCCAGTCTAAACATCTGGCTGACTGTATGACCAACCATAATAATAATTCATACTGACTGGATCTGCACATATGCTACGCCAATACATTACAACATCCTAAGAGAAAAGAAGAACTCAATGTTTTTGAAGGCCAACGCCAGCTAAAGACTGGGCAATTGTGATTTCAGATGTTTGTATATAGAATAAAAGAGAAACAACTGGAGAAAAACAAAGGAAGACCTGCAAATAGAAGTAGAACAACTGGCAAAAGAAAGCAAAGATAGTTCCAATAGTAGCAGGGGCCTTCGGTGCAATCTCAAAAAATCTGGAGCACCATTTGAATGCCATCAGCATTAACAAAATCATCACAAATCAATTGGAAAAAGCAGTTTTACTTGGAACAGCTTATATCCTGCAGACCATACCTTTAACACCATCAAACAACATCTGCCTTTCCAGGTCCTTAGGAAGGACTCCTCAATAGATGGAAAAAAAAGTGAAATCCAATCTGAACATCTGGCTGACAGTGCAGCGAACCACAGTAATAAAAAATATCATATTTTAAAAAATCAATCACTCTGGACATATAACTTTTCTCTGTTGCAGAAAAAAAAATCTTTGCATGTTCAGATTTCGCAATTTTACAGACATGCAAAAATCCAGAGTTCAGCATTTTAACCTGGCAGGTTAAATAAAGGAGCGGCATGTTAAGTTATGATGGTTACGATCCTGTTTCCTCCGATTTGTAGAAAAAGGGAGGATATTAGACTGAAAAGGTAAATATGCCCCTCTAACCACAGCCCAAAAATGCTCAGTAATCATTTTATAGCATGTTTTTTACCCAGATTTTGCCCTCAGTTCATCACATTTGAGGCAATTTAAAATCTTCCTTAGGTTTTAAAGTTGTGTTTTTCCTCTTCTCCCAACAGGAGTTTAGCTGTGGACATGATCTATCATTGCTTTACTTGTGATGTGGTTGATGATGAAGTCAAAGGCTGAGATTTGGCCGCCATGGTTATTTTGGCTTTGGCTGCAGGAGTTTCCACAGAGGCTTTTGACAGTGTAATGACTGACCAAGTGCTTGTCAGGCCTTACACGGTCTCCTTATGGATGTAGATTTAACGCTCTTCTGCAATAGTGCTAAGCCATTATTCCAAATATGGATTTTGTGTTCTTTTGGGAAAAAAAATATATTAAACTTCTGCCTGGGGGTAAAAAAGAATTGGTTGTAGAAAAAGTGCTAGTTCTGTGCTTCAAGAAGGATTTAAACTGAGAAACAGAGCCAGGTTCTGCCAGCTATATATTGCTAGTTCTGCCATTAGTGAGTGCAGTACAGGTAGTCCTCGACTTACGACCATAATTGAGCCCAAAATTTATGTTGCTAAGTGAGCGCTTTTTCCTTCTGTTGTCCTACTATCTGGAGAATTTGGGAGGATCCCTTTTGAGATCCTTCTCCGTGGCAATTTTTTTCTGTGGGCTTAGATATCTCTTGTCCAACCACTGCCTTGGCTACAGATCTTCTTCCTGCTCCCAATTTATTCTCATATCCCATTCCACTAAGACCGAATAGAGCTTGCCTGTTTGCATTTTAGAGTGGCATACTTAAAACATATACTAACATATTATGTTAGTATATCCCAGGGGTAGGCAACCTTGGCTTTTTTATGACTCGTGGACTTCAACTCCCAGAATTCCTGAGGCAGCCCTGCTGAGGGGAAAGGGAGAGGTTCCCAAGCTGAGCCATGCTGGCTCAGGAATTCTGGGAGTTGAAGTCCACGAGTCATAAAAGAGCCAAGGTTGCCTACCCCTGGTATATCCACATGGATTGCCCACATCAGTCAAGCAAGCTAAATAAATAAATATTTTAAAAATTCCACCATGTTTTGGACCCTGTTAGCTATATCCAATAATATATCTAAATTGAATAATATATAGGTGGACACAGATGCCTTGTTAAGGAAAGAGGCACAATTTAACATGAAAAATGACTGTAATAAAGCCCTTATATCATACAGTTAGATCTCTACATTTTTATCTTCCTTCCAGTTTAACCTGGTTCTTTTCTTCTTCTTCTTCAGAAAACTGGCTTAAAAAAAACCTATAGCGAGCCAAGGGATTATATCTAATATTTTTGTATACATGTATAACCAATCCTTCCATTTCACAAATGGCCTGAGAAATGTTGAGCCTGAAACGAACAAAATATTATAACACGTACTCGTATGAATTACATGTAATGCTGAAGGCATGCCTGAATAAGCTAAATTTAAAAACAAAATATATTCCTTGAGTGTCATTTTTTTTTCATGAATTTGCACACGGCTAACAGCTGGGGAATATATTCCACACGATTCCAAATTAATTTGTTTGGTTTCATTCTCCACCCCTCCCCCATTACTTGATTTTTCCAATATGGCTTGTAGAGCTTTTTGCACAGCGGCCTTCGCAAGATTATTAAACCAGTTGAGGCCAAGGGCTACGGGGAATATTATGGTGACTAAGACTAGAACATTAGCATTTCTGATTAGCTGATTTTATCTCAGAATATCGTGAACCGGAGCAAGAAAGAAATAACCTTCTGATTTTTCAAGGTGTGACAGAAGGAGTATAAGCCATCTGCTGCAGTCATCTTGAAGCGGAATGGCAAAGAAATGATTAAGAACTGGAGAAAAGGTTGCAGCCAATATGTCAGTTTCCTGTGGGTGGATAAAGGGTGGGGAGATTTATAACAGAAGAAGGTGCAGCATGTTTTTTTGGGGGGAAATACACCCCTGCAGTTTTCTTTGCTTAAAGCTATTTCTGTTGACACCGAGATTTCGACAACTTGAAATTTACCACACTGATAATACTCCTGTTTTTTTACATAACGCAACTCCCACCCCACCATAAGTTTCTCTAAAAGGAGTCACAAGGCTGGAAGACAAACGAGGGTGTTTCCCCCCCCCCCCCACACACACACCCATCTCTGTCTCAGTTTGGTTCTTTCTGTTTTATTTGGCTGTACCAATCAAGGACAAATTCTCTTTAGGAGTTCAAAAGCTTATTGCAGCAACTTAGAATTGAAAG